ACCGGTCACGTGCTCCGTTCAGTGTGAGCTTCACCGACTCACGCCACTGTCCCATCGCTGCGCAGCGACTGCGCGGGTGGCGAATACGCTCTTTCGCCCACGCGCGCGTGGGGACGTCACCACTCACCTGCTCCTGGAGACCGCTGCTCGCTGTGGAGAGAGAGGGAGAGAGACGAGAGAGGTTTTGCGAGAATGATATTTCGTTGCTGTCATTTTAGCCCCCCGCTACCCGGTTGCACTCGTGCGACGTAGCGGGGGGCCACAACTACGTTTACGAAAACATAAGTAGTCCCGCGAGGTGTGAATTGGCCGCCCCAGTAGCCCCCTTTCCAATTGCCTGATTTTGCGGCGCGTCCACAGAGGGTCCAAACTTGTGAACCGTATCTCGCAACGAATCTCGCCGGCCTCACCGGCCCTCACTTTGACCGACGCCACCGTCCGCTCGACTGGCCGATGAAGAGCGACCCGTACGACGCGCACTTGTCGTCCTCCCTCCTCGCCACATGACGGCCGCCCTCCGACACCGACAGTCGCGCTCCGCACGCCTTCGAGGTCAGCTGCGGCCGAGCGACGATCGGCTCGCCTCCGATCGCTGGGCGCGGTCACTCTCCGGCCCATCACCCGCCTGCCGATCACCTGTCCGCCTCGCCGCGCGCGGGCCGCTCGCCTGCTCGCCACCGCCGCCGCGCGTCCCCGCGCCGCCACGCTTCCCTGCACCTGACGGCGCTCGGAGCTGCGCAGACGGCGCGCTCTGGCAGACAGAGCAGCGGCCGCCCAGGCGTCGCTGCTCCGCCCCGTCCGAATCCGTCCGCCCGCGCGTGCCGCTGCCGCCGCCGCCGCCGCTCCACCCGGTGCCCGTGTGTCGTGAGAGTTGCTTTTTTGTGTATGTGTATCGTATGTGTGTGGACTTATGTCACACTTGAGCCCCTCTATCTATGATCGAGACCGGTCTCGGGTTTGGATGGGAGCGGGGGGCCCCGCCGGAGGCTGGTTACCGATCGTATTTTCGCGTTTTGTACATGTGCCTTTTAGTATGTCGTTTGCGCGTGCCGCCCCCGTTGCTTGCGGCCGCGCCGTGTGAGGGCGGGAGGGGAATGTGCGGAGGGTACGAAGAGGTCAACGGGCGGCCTGCCATGTGCCAACGAGTCACCGCACGCACGCTCGTCGAGACTCGAGTCGACTGCCCCAGCCTTTCCCAACAGCTCCAAACCGCGAGAGAGGGGTCACACGTCCACAGCTCTTGTCCACACGCCATCGGGCCCAAGCGTTCTCCTCACCGGCGGCTCCTCGCCGAGGAAGACGATGAGAGCGTACCTCGTGCCGTGCTCCATCCGAGAGACGCCGTGGACGACCCGCGAGAAGTGGACGGTCGCGTCGCCCGCGGCTCGATCGAACCGGACCACGCCGTCCGCAAAGAGCCCGAGGAGCCGGCCGCCGCCGTGCTGCGAGTCGTCCGACAGCGCAACGTTGACGGTAATTCGCGCTCTGTCTTGATGAAAGGGGTGCCAGGGCCGAGTCGCTGGCGTGTATTTCCTCACAAACGCTTCGACCATGGCAAGCTCCCGCTGGCGTCCGCCGCCACCGCGCAGGTCGAGCGCGCGTGCGACCGCGGCGATGGCTTCGACGTTCGCGGCTCCAATCAGCGCCGACAGCTCCTCGCACGTCAGATTGAGCTGACAGTCGGGCGCACCGTCAACTGTATCTCGAATGCAGTCGTGCTCCGCATCCACCGCCGCCGCGAGCGCCTCGCACGCCGATCGGCAAAGCAGTCTGGGGAGCGTGACGACATCGGTGGCGAAGCAGGCCGCTGCGACGCCGCCACCGAGCGTGCGCATGACCTCTTCAGCCGGCACGGTGGAGGGATCGGCGCCATCAACTAGTAGGGCGCGTTGTGGCTCCGGCATGGCCGCCGCGGCGCCAGCAAATGCGTCGGGGATGCGTGCGGTCGCCGGCATTATCGTTGTCACGTGAAGAGGGCCCTCGCCCTGCCTCCGCCGCCTGCCTCCGCCGCTGATAAACCGAAAGAAAAAAACTTCCTTCGGGACACACGATTCCAGAAATGGTTGTGTCCCCGCTCCTCGCTCGCCCGGGCGCAGGGCATGGCCGCGGAGGAGGCGAGTACGCGCTGCCAGGCCTTCCGCAGACAGCCTCTTGGGCAGACTGAGGGTCGGCTTTGCGTGGCGCAGCCCGTGCGCTGCGCTGCGCAAAGCTGCGTGTGCTGAAGGTGCATCTGGTGCTTCCTTTGGGAAGTGCGCACTTCCTGCAGCTGGTGGAAGGCCGTGCCGCCGCTCGCCTGCTCCGTGGACAGGGCGGGGAGGCGGCACCACAGCGCCGCAGCGTCCGCTGCACGCCGGTGCAGCACTCTGCTGCCTGGTGGGCAGCATGCTGGTGCTGTGCGCGGGGTTTGCGAGGCGGCTTTGGCGCTGTGGTGCCGGCCGCGGCGAGTGGCGCGAGGCACGCGCGGCGCCGCGCGTGGCCCAGACGGCGCCAAAGAGCGCGCTCGATGAGCCAGCCGGCGCGGCGCGAGCGCCGTGCAAGCTGGCACATCGTCTGCATGCTGCCGTCAATTCTCTGGTCGACGGCGGTCAATCTCACGATTGTCGATCAAAACCGGCGGGCTTTGTGACGCCGTTTACGCAATCGTTGTTGAGCTTCGCTTTCTCTTTTGCTTGGTTTTATTTTGTTTTTTCGTTTGCGAAGCGACAGAGGGGGGGGCGGGCGGGCGCTAACTACGGGCAACTACATGTCGAAGGTTCGAGGTCGACTACTCGCCGCCTGGGTCGTTTGGGGCGCGCGGCTCCGTCGAGGACCGGGCGCGCCCCTTTCCCGGCGCGGCGTAGGTCCCACTCTGACGTATAGAGGGGAGGCACGGACAACGGCCCGATTCATCAATTCCACTCATCTTCTGGAGCCTAGCCCCGTGCAGCGGCGGTCCGGCAGGCTGCCCCCAAGGCCCCCTGGGCCGCTGCGGGTTTTGGAGTTATGCTTTGGCACAGCTTCGGCGATGGCGGCCCCTCTCTGGGGCTTGCATAGGCGGGGAGTCTCCCTCGCTGGTCTCCTCATTCCCTTTTTTCTTTTTCTTTTGAGCTGGGTGTGCCGCCGCGCGGCGCTCGCGCGGCGGCAGTGTGTGTGTGTGTGTGTGTGTGTGTGTGGTGGTGGTGGGGGGGGGGGGGGCTCGGGGGCGCGCAGGACAGAGGCTCGGCGATCATCGGCTCGCCGAGGGGGGAACGAGGAGGGGGGATGGGCGGTCGGCGTCGGGGTAGAAGCAACAGGGCGTACGGGGTAGCCGTCACTTTCCTGCCTCACAAGGGCGGGGCTGTCCCGGAAAGTGAGAAACGCCGGGCAGCGTGGCGCATTACTGAACCCTCCCATACGTGCTTGTGCTCCTCCTTTGCTGTCCCATCTCCTCATCTCTTTCCCGCCTGGGCGGGGCGGGGGTCGGGGGGGCGGCGGGCGCGGGTGCGAGGTGCGGTGCGGTGCGTGCAATCCTGTGTTTGGCGTCGTGTCGTGTGTGCCTTCGCTTGTTCCTATTAACAACGAAGTCTAGCTCAAAAAAAAAGAAAGAAACAGCGCTCGCAGACTGATACCGGGGGAGGACAGGGTCCCCACCTGCAAGGATTTGGGAAGGACGATCAGGGGGACAGGTGGGCTCTCCTCGTCGCAGCTGCTACTTTCGACCCCCGAGCTTTTCGATTTCTTGAGCAAGAGCAAAAATCGACCGTCGGCACCTAGATCTAGAGAGAGAGATTTTTAGCAATACCAAACAACTCTAACACTCACACGTTGATCTATCGAAGGAACAGCAGCAGGGCACGGGGCACGTCCAGCTTCACCACCGTTCTTCCAGACGACGTCTCGAGCTCTCGACGTGCTGTTGTTGGCAAAGCAAGATACATTTACTCGTAGTACCCAAGCAAGAAGCCCAATTTGAGTTGCGGTCGGTGAAGCGGTTTCTGGTTCGGCTTGGCATGCCGAAAGTGCAATCGCACTCCCAACTAGCGTCCGTCCCCGCACGTTACGGCCCACGATTGCCCAGTGCCGCTGTCTCCGCCCGTCAGCCCGCTCCCCTTCCCGCTCCCCCGCGCGCGACATGGCAGAGCTCGAAGACTTGGAGGAGCATCTCACGGCCGTGCGCAGTCAAAATGCGTCCCTCATCGGGGAGCTCGAGTCGCTCAAGCGGCAGCTCTCAGCCGCATCGCTCTCGAGCATCGACACCACCATCCCATCCGCATCGGCGGTCCCCGCATATCGCCACCTCGGACGCCCAGCCTCGTCGCCCATGCTTCGGCGAGGCGGCTCGCACCGGCCGTCGAGGACTCCCGAGGCGGCTCGCCGCCTCGCCGGCGGCAGCAGGCGGAGGGCTGCCACAGCAGGTGCGGCTCGTACCACACCGCTCGCGCCGTCGCTGGTGGACTTCTTGGACAGCGTCGGCCTATCGAGCAGCAGTCGAACGGTGCATGTGCCCAAGGGTCCCGCATCCGTCTACTCGCCGCAACGGCCACGGACGCCGTCGATGATGCACCGATGCCCTCCCAAGCTCGGCACCAACCATCCGCCGCCGCGGTGCCCGCCCACGTCGCGTGCGCAGACGCTCGACGTCTGGCGGAAGGAGCAGGACGCGAGGCGGGAGGCGGATGAGCTGCGGTGGAGACGCCACGCTTGCGAGGGCGCTTCCGGCGCTTCCCTCGCCAAGGAGCTCAAGGAGCGGTCGCGCAGGGCAGGCTTGCCCGAGCAGACCGTCACCATTGCGGGTCAATCCCGACCTGCAACCGCGCAGATTGACCGACGGCGAGCTCCTCTGCTGCGAAAGCGACCGCCACTGACTCGTTCCGTCGCAAGCTTCGACGCCACCGAGCGCCGTCTGTGGAGCACAACCGTGAGCACGGGGCTCGAACAACAGGTGGCAGCGCTGATGGCAGCGGCCGGCGGCACCCGCCCAGACACGGCCGCACGCGTTGCGGCCGAGGTGCATGCCGCGCATGCCGCGTCCCTGGCGGCGCGGGCGGCGGCTCGGGAGGCGGCTGCAGCCGGATCGAGCGGCGAGCTGCTTGTACTGGACGATGGCGACTCTGAGAGAGAAGCTGCCGCCCCGGCGACAGAGGAGGAGGCGAGGAGCAGCACCTCGGCGCAAGAGTCCCACCGCGCGGGCTGCCGCGTCTTGCTCGACGTCATTCGGGGCTGGGACACCTCGGGCAAGTGCAAGCTCTCCCGCGCTCATTTTGAGTTCATGCTCTCTACTCTCGCCCCCGACGTGATTGTGGACCCCGAGCTGCAGCGCACCCTCCTCGACGAGTGCGACACGCGAGAGCCCGGCGTCGCCGATCTCCGCTTGTTCTGCGAGATGCTCGCGGACGAATCCAACGTCGGTCGCGTGACCTTCAGCGCGGAGCTTCAGCCCAACACCCGCCGCAGCCTCCGTTCGGCCAAGGTGTCACTCGCTTCTCATGCCGCCATGTGCACGCGCGCTCACCCCACCCCCGACCCCTTCTTCAGGAGCTCCCGATCGGATCAAACGTGCTGGGGCAGCCAGCGCAGCCGGCGCCGTGGGCTGAGCCTTACGGGGACGGCTCTAACCATCGGGAGATCGCGGTGACAACGTCCGACGAAGTTAATAGCGCCTTGCGGGCGCAGCTGGCTCGGCTTGGGGAGCAGCTGCGAGTGCGTGACCCCGATCAGACGGGCGAGCTCTCGGAAAGCGACTTTATCGAAGGCATCTCCTCGATGAACTTTCTCCTCTCGTCGTCGGAGATCGAGTCGCTATTCCGTGATGCGGACAAGTCGGCCTCGGGCAAGGTCATTATCGATCGCTTCGTTGCGCGGGCGCACGAGCAGATCTCGTCCAAGAACGTTGTCCCAGCTTACATGGTGCTCAAGCACCAGCGGTCCATCGACATGTCGACCAGCCTGAAGTGGTCGACCGACGAGCGATTCACCGAGCGGGAGGGCAGGGCGGAGCTCAAGCGTTGGCTGCGCTGCCATCCGTCGCCGTTTTCGGAGGAGGCCCTCAGCCTGCGCTGAGTTCAGACTGGGGAGTGTCGACTCTCACAGTCTATAGTATCTCCCCACGGTCTCCACAGCGCTGTGGACCAGGAGCGCGGAGCGAGGTGCGAGGGCGGCGAGTGGGTCGGGTGTGGCCGAACGGGCCGTGGGGCAGGGCCAGGCGGGGGCCAGGCCCCCCGGCGTCCCACCCGCCTCGCGTCGGCTCTCTGTCTCTCCCTATATTTTCTTCAACATACGTGTTTAGGATCCGAGCTCTCGCCCTTCCTTTTCGTTTTCCGCCTGCGCCCTCCGCGGGACCAGGAGGCTCTCAACCGTCACGGCGCCCCACACTCGTCGGCGGGCCCACGCCCCTTCCAACACTCCGATCATTCCTCGCCTTTGACGGCACCGAGCACTGCGGTGAGCACGCAAGCGCACAGCGCCGCGGGAGCCGCTGCCCGCAACGGCTCCAGCAGCGACGGGTCGAGCAGGCCCGATGACGCATGGCCGTATCCGAGCGCGGTGATCCACGCCAGCGCTACGAGCGCTGCGCGCTGCGGGCCTTCGAGCCGCAGCCGCGCGCCCTCTCGCTGTGGCTCGCGGGCCTGCGCGGTCGGAGGGGCTGCTGCCGCGACAGCCTCGTTCACGAGGCCCGGGCGCAGCTTCTCCAGCTCAAGAGCAGGCTGCGGCTGCCGCCGCGGCCGCGCCTGCGGCGACGGAGCCGCCACGCCCGCGGCGATGTCCTCCTGGAGCCGCGACTCGCGCGCCGCACCAGAGAGCTTGAGGCCAACGGCGGGCGCCTCCGGCTCGCTAAAGGATGACGGCGGCGGTGCAGGCGGTGGCGCTGCGAGGCGCAGGGGCAGTCCCAGCTGCTTGCTCACTTTTATGTACCCGCCGTGGCGCATGCACCCCTCGACCAGGTCGACACGACCCTTGCGCCGCAGCTCGTCGTACGCGAGCGGCGATGGCGCGTCAGCGTCGCTCAGCTCGGAGGCGCTGAGCGTGGCAACGTACTCGCGAACAGCCACCTCAAAGCCACCAAAATCGTCCGCCATCCTGGCTTCGACGAGTCGAGTGGCAGGCGCCGCAGGCGGGCACCACGCGCGCCCGACGAGAGTTGGCGTCGCGAAGCCGGCGGCGGCCGCGAGGATGAAGGACGGTGACGGTAACATCGCGAGCGGCGAGGCTGTGTCCCGGTTCAACGTCCGCGACGACGCTGGAAGGGCTGTGGAGCTCGCAGCAGGAAGTAGTTAAGGGGAACCCTGTGTGGTGGCGGCGTGCCGTCCTCCCATCCCTCCCTTGGGGCGTCGTTCTTTCTTTCTTTTAAGGGGAACCCGGTACGCGGAGCCCTCTCGGAGACCCGTGTTTACTTTACGGCCCTTTCTTTCCCTGCGAACGCGCACCCCCCAGGGCTAGGGCTATCTTGCCCGCAACCCGATCCCGATCATCCGGCCCGCTGGGTGCGCTTCTCAGCTCCCCGGCCCTGGATGTGAGGTTGATGACTGCACTCCAAGTGCTCCAAGTGCTCGAGGATTCGCACAACACTGGAACTAAGCTCCGTGAATAGCTGAAACGAATTTCAATGTCCACGTGGACCAGTGTCGGGGCCACGTGGACGGGCCACGAGGTCACAACCTCAGCGCTAAAACCGTTTAGCCCGCCGCCCCCCTGCCGTCCGTTACCGCCGTGCCGCCGTGCCGCCGCTCCTACCTATACAGTGCCGCCGTGTCGCCGCTCCTACAGTGCCGTTTGTCCCGCCGTCCGATGCCCTGCCTGCCGTCTGTTGCCGCCGCGCCGCCTTACCGCCGACCCTTACCGTGCCGCGCCGCCTTTTGACACACACATCTGACTTCTTGCTCGACCGCGAGTTTGCGTTGAAGAGCGAACCGAGCCGCCGGTGTGTCCCGCAGCGGCCTCGCGCTGGGCCAGAAGAACCGGTCCGCGAGTGCTCCGCAGCAACCTCGCTGAGCCAGAACGTCGGCTCGCGAGGTGGATGCTAGCATGAGCCCGATCCGTCGCAGTGCTCTTGCGTTATACGGCTGGCGGGAGTGATCTAATCACCCGAATGCCACGTTCGGATCGCTTCTCATCGCAAACCCTGTCAGCAGTTCACCCTCGGGTATGTTCGTAAGAGCTACATACACTGAAAATCTGCTCGGGGAGCGGGGGGGAGGGGGGGGGGGGGGGGGACTTGTAACGATCAAACTTGCGTGGCTCCTACCCGCCTGGACGCGAGACACGAACCACGTCGGCACGTCCACCCGCAGCGACAGAGAGAGAGAGAGGCTCTCTGTCGTTCTACGATCACCGACAGCGGCGGCGGCAGAACGCTGCGCACTACTGCAGGACAACACGCTCTGGGTTGAGCGTGGGCAGCAACGATGATGGTGAAGCAGCTTCCGCCCCGCTTCTTGCTCGTCGCAAACAACCCGGCCCTCAACTCGGCACCAGACTGGCCCTTAGCCAACTGGACCCGCATCCGATTCAACGACTGCAAGGCAACCTGGCCTGCGCACTCCGCGCAGCTTGATGTGCTCGCCGTGCGATGGAACAGTCATTGCTACTGGGGCGCCGAGGATTGTGGCGCGGCAGTCAGAAGGCCGTCGCCGCTGCTGCGCCGTGCACCGCCGCGAGATCGCGAGGCCAGAGAGATGGCGCCAGCTGCTGCGCACGATGCGGCCACGGGCACGCCAGGCCGCCCCCTGCCCGGCTCTGCCTCGCCCACACGGCCCGCGCGTGCAGAGCCGCAGGGCCATGGCCGCTCCCCGCTGGGCCAGCGGTCGTTTGCGTGCGACGCGCGGCTTCGGACGTCTCATTTCGCCTCGCACCCGTCGCATGTGCTTCACATCGGCGGCCCGCACGAGGACCTGCGCATCGTTCGGTACTCGCACCAGAGACGCAACCACACCCTCTCGTCGGGGATGACGATGATCCGGCACTTGCGGCGCATCTTCCCGAGCTCAACCATCGTCTGCGCCGGCTTCACTTTCCACGAGGACGAGGGGTCGCGCAGCAGAGTCCATAATTACACGTACGAGGAGCGGCTCGCGAGCCGGGAGAAGGGCCTCGTCGTGCTCAAGACGGCCGACGACGTCAGGGGCTTCATCAGTAAGATGAAGCGGGGGGGGCTTTGAGCATGTTCGCAAGAGCTCCGGATGCACTGAAAATGAGCGGTAATTCTCGTTAAAGTCATACATCAGCACATCAAAATCAGACGACATGCCCGGTGGCTTCACAAAGCAGACTTCGTAGACTGACTGGGGCTCGAGCTGACTCTGGACGTGGCTTCATGGCGTGCTTCTCTCTTCCACCCTTAGAGCTCCGATCCCCCCACCCCCTTGCTCCCCTCCCCCCTTCGGGAGGGCCGAACTGAGGCGCCCGTGGCCGACCCCGCAATCCCCTTCTCCTTCCCCCCTCGGAGGGCCGGACAGAGCTCAGAGGCGTCGAGAGAGGGGCCCCGCTCTTCCCCTCGCATAGCGGCCACTCTTCGGATCGCTGGCCGAGCGACCCGGGGGATGCCCCGCGCGCCTGACCCAGGCGCGAGAAACGAATCTGCGAGGCGAGGCCGCTTTATGCGGCCCGAAGGGGGGGAACGAGGCGGATTACGGGGGGATCGGCTTCTTACACCAGTCTTACACCGCCCTTCCTCCGCTCGCAGCGAGCCCCCTCCAACCCACCCGCGCTAGGTGCACGAGGTCGCTCAATACGCGGCTGCATGGCGATTACCGCTTCGCGCGGGAACGGGATTGCGACCTGCGTCTGTTCGATTTCGAGACTTTGGGAGGCTTTGGAAGGGAGGTCCGCAGCACCCTGAGGGAGGGGCGGCGAACCAGCTGAGCAACAAACTTTCGCACGCTCAGCACCTGGACGAGGTCACGTGTGGACGACCGGCGGACCTGACAGATCGATTGGCGTTGCCGATTTGAAGCGTTGCCGATTTGAAGCGTTGCCGATTTCGATTTTTTTCGTTCTTGTGCCTGAGCCCTGGCCTCGACACCTCGAGCCCCCTCCGCTGGGGGGTGCGGCGGTTTCGCGGATCTCTATTCACGTTTCCAGTGATGTGCGAGGGAGGGAATTTCTAAAAGAAAGAAAACAGACACACCAAAGGAGGGAAAAAGAAAGAAAGGGACACGCACAACCCAAGTAAGGGATGGGGGAGGACGGCACGCCGCCACCATTTTGTGCGATGATATTCCATAAATAAATAAATAGAGCAGTCATCTCCAGGGAGAGATGGGCGACGCACACGAAATGATATTCCAAAAAAGAAAGAAAGAAAACAGACAACCCAAGGGAGGGATGGGAGGACGGCACGCCGCCACCACACAGGGATTTTAAGGAGAGGTGTGTGGTGCGCTATCCGTCGCCCACCCTAGGGAGTCCTGCCTCTTCCTATCTCTCTTCGCAGTCTCTCGCCGATTCTCGCTGCAACCTTCATGCCACCTCGCGGTCGTCCCACCCTCGTCGTTCTCTCCCTTGATGTCACTTCCTCCTCTGTCGCGTTGTTCTCTTCTGCCTCGTCCTGCGACGCCGCCGCCTGCCGGTCCCTTGTTCTCGCGGCTTCTTTCGCCTTTCGGCGCAACTCCGTCCTCCTCGCGGCGTATCCTGGCCCCTCGAGTCTATCGAGCTCCCCTCGCGCAAGGACCACATTTCTGACTCCCACTCCGATCATTTGCCTACAGGTCATGTTGTTGCTCAGGTCCACTCTCTCTTCGAACACTCGTGCCTCTACGGATGATGCCCAAAAAGAAAGAAAGAAAACAGACAACCCAAGGGAGGGATGGGAGGACGGCACGCCGCCACCACACAGGGATTTTAAGGAGAGGTGTGTGGTGCGCTATCCGTCGCCCACCCTAGGTAGTCTGCCTCTTCCTATCTCTCTCCAGTGTTGTGCAGGGTGTCTTATCGTAAAATTCTTTTGAGGCCGGCGAGCTGTTGGTGTGGTCCAGCCTCCTCGCTCGGGCCATCCATGGCGTACACGTGGAGGCAGGACAACGCGACTGCAACGTGCGGCATCGTCGTGCCAACCGGCACCGCCCACAGCCAGCTCAAGGTCGTCCTCTCCCGCCGCCGCCTGACACTCGAGCTCGCAGGCTCGGGCGTCCTGCTTCGCCGCCGGCTGTTTGCGCCCGTCGTGCCGCGCCGCACACGCGCCTACACGCTGTACGTACCGGAGAGCGGCGCGGAATCCACGGAGCTGCGACTCGTCCTCTTCAAGGAGAAGGTCGCTGGCTGGAGCTCTCTCTTTTGCGGCGACGGCCGTAGGCAGCACCTGCAGGAGTCTCTCGCGGGCGAGAATGCTCCTGTCTGTGCACTGCCCGAGCACGATGGTGCGCAGGCTGATGCGGTGCCGGACTCCTCGGCTGGGCGCGGTGCCTTTTCGGCGGCGCGCGCACGGCAGGCTTGGCGACGGCAGGCGGTGGACGGCGGCACGCGAGTCGCTCGAGTCGCACCTGCAGAGAGCCGCCTCGCAGAGAGCCGCCTCGCAGAGAGCCGCCTATCGGGGCGAGCGGCGGTGGGAGGGGAGAATGGCGACGGCTTCTCGAACGGCGTGGCCGTGCCGGCACGCAGCTCCTGGCGACCAGCCGTGCGGCTCACCCCGCGACCCACGAAGGAGGAGCAACCGCCGGCAGCAGCAGCAACAGCAACAGCAGCAGCGGCAGCAGCGGCGGGGCCGCGTGTGGACGGCGCCCGGGCGGAGGGCTCGGAGGGGCCTCGGAGGCGGAGGCGGAAGCCCGTGCCCGCGTACAAGGGGCGCGTTGCCTCGGACGCATCTTCCTGGAACCTTCTTGGAACCTTCTTGGAACCTTGTTGGAACCGCCCTGTAGGCGCGTTGCCTCGGACGCATCGTCGAGCTCCTCCAGCGACGGAGGCTCTGACCCAGGCCAGCCTCTAGGGTTAGGGTTAGGGTTAGGAGGGGTTAGTAGGGCTCTGACCCAGGCGCAGCCTCGCCCCGCCACCCAACCCGCTCGCCACTCCACTCACCCTAACCCTATCCCTAACCCAACCCGCTCGCCACTCCACTAACCCGAACCCTATCCCTAACCCAACCCGCTCGCCACTCCACTCCCGACCGCCACTCCACTCCCGACCGCTGCTCCACCCCACCACCGCCCCACCGCCAAGCCCGTCTCCTCGGCCTCACCGAGCCGCTGGCGAGAGGAGACCGAGTGCCGTGCCTGCTTCATCAGCACTCCACTCTTGACCTGATCAGGCGAGGAGCGAGAGTACCCTCTGCCGGGCTCCCAAGCCAGCTGCGACGGCTGCGCCTCCACTGTGCCTCCTCGGCTGCGGCCCCTCCCACGGCCGTGAGCAGCGCCTCTTCACGCGCCGTGCCGCGAACAGGTCCGCCGCTTCTACCACTGCGTCGATTAATATTAATATTAACATTAATATTAATATTAATATTAACAGGTCCGCCGCTTCTACCACTGCGTCGATTAATATTAATATTAACATTAATATTAATATTAATATTAACAGGTCCGCCGCTTCTACCACTGCGTCGACTAATATTAATATTAACATTAATATTAATATTAATATTAACAGGTCCGCCGCTTCTACCACTGCGTCGATTAATATTAATATTAACATTAATATTAATATTAACAGGTCCGCCGCTTCTACCACTGCGTCGACTGCGGCGTCGGCGACAGCGCCTTCGACTTGTGCGTGCGTTGCCACCGCGGCGGCGCCGCATACCGCCACGGGGCTCGCCGCTTGCGAGGGAGGGGCGCCGTGTGAGCTTGCGGCTGTCTCTCGTAGGCTACTACGGCCCGGAGCACCGGCGCACTTTCCCGCACCACGAGCTGGTCCTCGTCAGCCCAAAGGCACTAACCCTGACCCTGACCCTAACCCTAACCCTAACCCTTCCCGCACCACGAGCTGGTCCTCGTCAGCCCAAAGGCACTAACCCTGACCCTGACCCTAACCCTAACCCTAACCCTTCCCGCACCACGAGCTGGTCCTCGTCAGCCCAAAGGCACTAACCCTGACCCTAACCCTAACCCTATCCCTAACCCTTCCCGCACCACGAGCTGGTCCTCGTCAGCCCAAAGGCACTAACCCTGACCCTGACCCTAACCCTATCCCTAACCCTTCCCGCACCACGAGCTGGTCCTCGTCAGCCCAAAGGCACTAACCCTGACCCTGACCCTGACCCTAACCCTAACCCTTCCCGCACCACGAGCTGGTCCTCGTCAGCCCAAAGGCACTAACCCTGACCCTGACCCTAACCCTAACCCTAACCCTTCCCGCACCACGAGCTGGTCCTCGTCAGCCCAAAGGCACTAACCCTGACCCTGACCCTAACCCTAACCCTAACCCTTCCCGCACCACGAGCTGGTCCTCGTCAGCCCAAAGGCACTAACCCTGACCCTGACCCTAACCCTGACCCTAACCCTAACCCTTCCCGCACCACGAGCTGGTCCTCGTCAGCCCAAAGGCACTAACCCTGACCCTGACCCTAACCCTAACCCTAACCCTTCCCGCACCACGAGCTGGTCCTCGTCAGCCCAAAGGCACTAACCCTGACCCTGACCCTAACCCTAACCCTAACCCTTCCCGCACCACGAGCTGGTCCTCGTCAGCCCAAAGGCACTAACCCTGACCCTAACCCTAACCCTAACCCTCACCCTTCCCGCACCACGAGTTGGTCCTCGTCAGCCCAAAGGCACTAACCCTGACCCTGACCCTAACCCTAACCCTAACCCTTCCCGCACCACGAGCTGGTCCTCGTCAGCCCAAAGGCACTAACCCTGACCCTAACCCTAACCCTAACCCTTCCCGCACCACGAGCTGGCCCTCGTCAGCCCAAAGGCATCGCACGCTCTCCCCCCTCACACACCTCTCCCCTCCCCCCTCTCTCGCCCCCCCAAAGCCCAGAGGCAGCGAGCCGTCGTCCTGCCGCCCCGCCTCCGCACGCGCCTCGCCCCGACCCCCGCGCCACTCCCGCCGCGGGTGCGACCCAGGCGGCGCCGATCACGCGCAAGCCGCCTCCGCAGCCCTCGCCGGGCGGAGCGCCTGGCAACGGCATGCTGCAGCGGAGAGACATGCTGCAGCGGCGGGCGGAGCCGGCCGCAAAGCCTCCCTCTCGCGGCGGCGGCGGCGGAGCGCTGATCAAGGTTGCGCTCGAGCAGCAGAGAAGCGCGAGCCGTGGGACTAGCGGGCCCGAGAGGGTCGGGGCACGGGCGCAAGGCCACCCCGCCCCACAGCCGACTTGCTCCCCCCCCCCCCCCCCCCTTCCCCCTGCTCCCTCTGCTCCCTCTGCGCAAGGCGGAGGTTCCGCTCGAGGCAAACACGACCTACTCGTGGTCGCAGACGGACGAGGAAGCCGCCGCAGCCGCTCGCCGACCCCGCGCCGCCACCCCTCACCCCTCCGACCTTGCCCCGCAGGAGATCAACTTGCTCGTGCGCATCCCGCCCGACATGGCGCGGAGAGACATCCGCGTCGAGATCAAGCCGCTGCTGCTGCGGATGGTGGCGCGCGGACACGTCCTCCTCGCAGGCTTGCTAGTGAGAAGTCTATTGAGTAGTCTATTGGACACGTCCTCCTCGCAGGCTTGCTCGCCTCGCCACCGCACCGCCCTCCCTCGCCGCGCCGCCCTCCCTCGCGTCGGCTCACGGCGCAGGCCTTCGACCTCCCTCCCCCCCCCTCTCAGGCTCGCTCGACAAGCCTGTGGTGGCTGGCGAGGCGCGTGGACACAGCCCCGCACCTCGCCCGCCCGCGCCAGGAGAGCGTCACCGGGGCTCGGCTTGTGTGGCAGGCGACGTGGACATACGAGCCGGGCGAGGTGCACGTGATGCTGCCCAAGGAGACGGGCGGCCCGCTCTTCTCGGAACCTTCGGGAACCTGCTCGGAACCCTCTCGGAACCTTCTCGGAACCTTCCTCAGGCGGCCCGGTCTTCTCGCGGCTCTTCCCGTCCGAGGAGAAGCTCTCGCCCGCCCTCGCCATCAAGCAGGCGCGCGCCGCCCTCCCCGCCCGCGCGAGATGCACAGACGAGGCTCGCGCCAGGGGCCACTACTGCGCTGCGCCGCCACTCGTGCGCTGCGCCGCAGGTCTGCGACGACGAGCCGTACCAGGGGCGGTACATGGACTTGTCGCCGGAGGCGCGCAAGATCGTCGACATGCACCGCAACTTCAACCACGCGCGCGCGACGGGCAAAGGCGACTGGGCCACCGAGCTCGAGGAGGAGATGAAGATGATGCGCTTCTCGTGGGGGGCCGAGAACAAGGACGAGTGGGAGCGGGAGTAGGACGATCAGCGAGCCGAGGAGACTCAACGAGAGCTGTCAGCGAGAGCCAGGGAGGGGGAGGACCTCGCCGCGGGCTCTCTCTCAACTGCACCCGTGAGAGGAGCGAGAGGGCAGGCCGGTAAGAAGAGGCCGTGGTAGGCAAAGCCGGTAAATGCCGAGAGAACTGCTTTGTTGTGCGGGCCCCCGGCCCGTTGCGACCACACTGGTAGGGATGGGAGGAGGACAGCGTCCCACCTTGCTGGCCTTCGCCACGAAAATGGAAAATGCAAAATCGAAATTCAACTCCCCCTTTTCAAAAGTATCACGAAGAGCCGCGGGGCCGGGGGGCGCGCGCGCGCGCGCGGGGGGGAGATCTAGGGGGGACAGGAGGGGCGCGAACCAAGCCGTGGCAGCTCGAGCGCGCCGCGCGCGACCGTCGCGCGTCGGCGAGCGACCTCTCTAGAGCGACCTCGACCTTTCGCGAGAGCGAGGGCGGCGGCCGCCCCGGCCCACACAGGCACACACTCACACACACTGGTCCCGTGCGGTCACGTGTGCGCTTGCGGACCATGCTCCGAGCTGATGGAAGAGTGTCCGTACTGCCGCGAGCCAGCGATGATGTGGATGGTTCCGCGGCACGTGTGAGAGTCTTGAGAGAGAACGGAGAGATGGGGCTGGTGGTTCAGTCGGCGAGGCGAAGGGCGCCCCCAGTGCCAGAGCCCCAGAGACTCAGCAGACAGTGCCAGTCTTCGTCCTTTGTCTCGCGCATGTATGTATGTATGTAGAAAGATGAACAACAGTCAGGCTCGGACTGGACACCAACGCGGTATGGGTGGACGCGGGACAGATGATGACGACACGCACGAGCGACACGCAGACACAAACAAGCTCACAAGACACACAGCCAGCGTGGCTGCCACACACCCTGAGTTGGCGTACACATAACTCAAGGCCGCGCCCCCCCCTGTCGCCTCCCCCAGCCAAGATGCCAAAGGAACAAACAAGGGCACAACAACACAACAGACGACAGGGGCGAACGCGTGAGGCTAGAGCAGGCTTGCTCGTCCTCTAGCAATCTCCGCCGACCGCGAGGCCGGACTAGACCGTGTGTGGGGTCGTGTGAGGTGTCTCTGGTCACTCTCCTCAGAGGCTAGCCGCCAGCCGCTAGCCCTATCTCGCACTCACTGGCGGTGACAATTCTATGGGTGAGCGTATGCAGGAAGAGGCGGACGCCCAAGGGTGGGCGACGGCTAGCGCACCACACCCCTCTCCTTAAAATCCCTGTGTGGTGGCGGCGTGCCGTCCTCCCATCCCTCCCTTGGCTTGTCCGTTTTCTTTCTTTCTTTCTGTGCTCCCCTCTCCTTAAAATCCCTGTGTGGTGGCGGCGTGCCGTCCTCCCATATCCCTCCCTGGGGTCCTGTCCGTTTTCTTTCTGTGCCCGGAGCAGGGCACCCCTACCATGAAGAGACCTCGAGAGTGGTGCACCTCGAGAGTGCGTGCGAGTGCCTCTACTCGCCCGGGCACAGGGCAAACAGAGAGGCTGAGAAAAGAAAACGGCCTTCACACGGGAGTGGAAAGAAGAAACCCCTGCGCCCTTGCATCACTGCCCCGGCGCCCACGCCTCCACCTTCTTCGGCAGCAGCTGGTTCGACAGGTCCTCTCCGTGGGCAAGGCAGGCGTGAACGCCCATGCCCCAGGTAAAGACAGCGCCGTCGGCGGTGATGGCGAAGCTGTGGTACAGCCCAGCCGACACGGCGTTAACGCGCTGACCGGCAAAGGCCTCGATCTTCTTCGGCAGCAGCTGGCGCTGCTCGTCGCCGTGGCCCAACATGCCCCATCCTTCATAGCCCCAGCTCCAGACGGCGCCATCGGCGGTGATGGCGAGGTTGTGGTGGCCTCCAGCCGACACAGCGACGACGCGCTGGCCAGCAAATGCCTCGATCTTCTTGGGCAGCAGCTGCTGCTGCTCGTCGCCGTGGCCCAGCTGGCCAGAGAGTCCATGGCCCCAGCTCCAGAGGCTGCCGTCGGCGGTGATGGCGAGGCTGTGGAAGCTTCCAGCCGACACAGTGACGACGCGCTGGCCAGCCCAGGCCTTGACCTTCTTCGGCAGGAGCCGGTTCTGCTCGTCGCCGTGGCCCAGCTTGCCCCAGTCTCCACTGCCCCAGCTCCAAACGGCGCCGTCGGCGGTGATGGCGAGGCTGTGGAAGCTTCCAGCCGACACAGCGACGACGCGCTGGCCAGCAAAGGCCTCGACCTTCTTGGGCTCCAGCTGGCTCTGCTCGTCGCCGTGGCCCAACCGGCCTTTGCCTCCATGGCCCCAGCTCCGGACAGCTCCGTCGGCAGTTATTGCAAGGCTGTGCGCGCCTCCAGCCGACACGGCGACGACGCGCTGGCCAGTCAAGGCCTCGACTTTCTTTGGCTGCCACTGCTCCTCCTCGTCGCCGTGGCCCAGCCGGCCGTAGAGACCATAGCCCCAGCTCCAGACACTGCTGCTGGTGAGGGCCAGGCTGTGGTAATCTCCTGCCGCCACGCTCACGGCGCGCTCGCCACCCAGCATCGACGGGAGGCGGGTCGGCGTGTTCAGCCGCGTCACGCCCTCGCCGTGACCGAGCAGTCCGGGATACCAGTCCGGCGCAGAGCCGCACGACGAGAGCCGCCCCTCGCCGTCGATGAAAACGCTGTGGAGTTCGCCTGCCGCCGCCCTCGCCGGCGGGTTGGACTCGCACAGCAGCGCAGCGAAGAACAGCCACCGCACGGCGCAGCCCTCGCCCTCTGGCGGCGCCGGAAGCTCGTAGCCGCGCTCTTGCGCCCGCAAGCGGATGCCCTCCACCGCAAGCGAGGCGTGGAAGAGGAGCGAGACGGCCGCGGTGCGAGCGATGTCGGCGGGGTCGCAGCGAGAGATGGCGCGCACGAGGAGCTCCGTGGGGAGGTCGAGGAGGCGGGCGGGCGGCGGCGTGTCTGGCGAGGGAGCGGCGGCGGCGGCGGGGGCGAGGCGGCGCGAGCGGCGGCGCGGTGGGGTGGACATCGCGAGAAAAAGAGATTTAGAATTCTTAAGATACAAGCCTCTCTCACAGCACACTGGCACGACAAGGGCGCGGACTGGCGCGGACTGGCACACACACAGGCTCACCACCGGAGCCGCCTAAGCGACTCCGTTAAGAACGGCAATGCACTCCGCACCATGCACAATGCCGCTCTCCCCGCACGCTAGCTCGTTCACCGTCTGCCACGCCACGGCGGTGTGGAGGACGACAGACAAGCGCTGCATCTGCAGCCCGTGCCAGTTCTTGGTGGTCCATGTGACCTCGTCCAGGTGCTGAGCGTGCGAAAGTTTGTTGCTCAGCTGGTTCGCCGCCTCCCTCAGGGTGCTGCGAACCTCCTTTCCAAAGCCTCCGAAAGCCTCAAAATCAAACAAACGTAGATCGCAATCCTGCTGCCGCGCAAAGGGGTAATCGCCAGGCAGCTCCTTGAGCTTTCCCTTGGGGGCATCCTCCTCCTCCCCCTCCTCCCCCTCCTCCTCGGCCTCCTCCTCCTCCCCCGCCACCGCCGCTGCCGTCGCTCCCGACGGAGACCACTTGCCGCGCCCTTTGACCAACTTGAGCAGCCCGGTCTCCGTGTTGCCAAAACGCACATAGGCCCCCTTCCAGCCGAGCTCTCCGTCGCCGGCCGTGTCCTTGCCCTGGCTCGCAAGCGAGCTCGTGAGCTTCAAATCGGCAACAAGGCGCCTGTGCCCCCTGCCGATGTTTGCCGCCGCCACGTCAGGTTGTTTTGGATTACTGTAACTGAGGTGTGCAGTCGGCTCCATCTCGATGATCATGCCCCACGCCGAGCGGAGGCATTTGATCAAACGTTTGAGTAGAAATTTGAGATCGAGAAAAAGAATATTTCGAGCCCATGCTAGAACGCATGGGCCGCGAGCGTTCACGGGACGCGCCAGGACGATGACCAATCCGTGGCGCGCAGAGGACCTACTTGTGAGTCTCCAAACGCATATGCATACACACAGGCACACAACGCGGGCTGGCTTCAACAAGCTCCTCTAGCTGAGTGTCGCGGAGGAGGGTTTTGGACAAGTCCTCCGCGGTGACTTGGGGCGATTGGAGCCGCAAATGGAGCTCGCAACGGAGATGACGAGGCGCATGTAACGACCCCCGGGGGTCCCGATAATCGAATTGAGGAGGACGGGCGGTCCCACTGTGTAACGAACTCTCTGAACGCCACACAGAGTCGTGTGAGGGCCCAGAGCGAGGCCCTGTCGTTCAGTCTCGGGCCGCCGACAGGCTCCTGACTTCAATCCGTGAGTGCGACAGAGTGTCGTATTCACCCCAGCCCCCCCCTTGAGTAAACGTAAGCGTAAGACCCGTCGCGTGAGCGGCAGCACTTCTTAGCAACACCGGGCTTGGACGCCACCGCGTCTACGGCCACCCTCCCCTTCGAGCGCATAGCCCGGCCGCAAGGCCGACGCAGCATCGATGGGCAAGCAACAAGATCGGAGCTCCACCCCGCCGGCCGATGGGCCACCGCCCCTCGACTGCGCATAACGGGGTGGAGCCCAGTACACCCTGGAGCACGCAGGCAACGCCCACTACCGCGGGCATGCCTTCACCCTCCAGGAGGGGCGCGGACCTCGGCACGGCGGCTCATCTCGTGGGGACCGCCGGCTATCTGGCCGACCCGCGCCCACCCCCAGGCTCACTGCTCAACGGAGGCGCCGGCGAACACCGCCCGGCGCCTTGGCAGAGGGTCCATGACCTCCCCCGCGACACACTTCTGGGAGAGAGTTCCGCCTCATTGGGCAGCGCTGCGTTGGATAGCAGCAGCGCTTCCCACCACTTATGCAAAGCATCCGCCACCGAGGCCCTCGCTCACCGCGAGGCCGCACCGCCGTTGGCGGTGGCTGGCCCCTCTGGGCATGAGCAGTCTCGGCTGCAGAGTCGGCCGCCCCCAACCTCGCTCGCCTCGACGGCGAACCGAGGCGGGGCGGCTACAAGTTCGCCTCTCCCGGCTGGGGAGGCTCAACACGTTGATCGAGATCGTCGACAGGGAGCAGGTCGACGCACTCATAACCGAAGCCAAGGCGGCGCTACAGAGGACTCCGGTCGGTACTCGGCTGACTGTAGTGACGGGGAAAGACGCCGCTCGTCGTGTGATTGAACAGCTCGGCGCAAATCCACTGAGATGCGAGAGGTGAGGTACAACGCCGGAGACAGTCTCGTCGACTTGCCGCCGTTTGCGTCGGGGTGAGACGAGGGGCAAGCCGCGAAAGCCGACTCGACTACGACGCACTCAGGCCGTTTATGGACTGGAGAGACCGCGGAGAATTTGTGGAGGATAAGGCAGCGAAAGAGGCTAGGTCGTGGGAACCGATGCCGCTAGATCCGGACAGGTGGCGGTCGAGTGACTTGCCGTCAGACATCAAGGAGATGATGGTCGAGGGTGTCCCCGTCAAGGTGCTAGCGCCGACAGCCGGAGGCAGCGAGAAGTGTGCGGCACTGCACCTGGGCACCGATATGACCCTCGCAGGTAGCCGTAGTATGTAGACTGGTGACTGCGCGGCCAGGTGGCACCCCGACACCAGCTCAAAACAGACTCGATAGTGGGCGGGCGTTAGAGGGAGCTCGGCGGGCACGCTATCTCCCCGGACTGAGCACGCTGAGGAGGTCCCGCGCGCGATCCACGGCGCTGCCGGTCGGGCCATCGTCGCCTCCGCCCGCCCTGACGTCGTACCGGTCGGAGCGATGCTCGCGCAGGTAGTCATCGATGGCCGACGCGTTGGCCATCTCGGCCTCCTCCGGCGCGGGGTGGTGCAGGCGGTACGAGACGTAGGCCGACCACAGCACGGCGGCCGCCGCCGCCGCGGAGGGCTGCCACTGTGGCGGCGCCAGCAGGTAGCTTGCCGCAGAGGCGCCGCCCCAAAACGTCCACATTTTGCCAAGCATGTGGTACCTGGGTGAGCAACAGAGTCTGTGACGCTGAATCCAGTGTTTGTGGCGCTGGAAATGAGGGGCGGGCAGCACGCTGGGTGGGGAGGGAGAGTCCGGCGCGCCAGTCCGAGTCGACGTGCGCCCGGGCGGCACTCACCCCGCGCCCTTCCACCAGCGGCCACGCGGCGGCGGCGAGGCCGAGGACGACCGGGGCAAAGACAGCCTGGTCGAGGGTGAAGCGCAAGCCCGCCTCGTACGTGCCTCCCGGAAAGTATCTGCTCAGCGCGCGCCACCACACCTCGCCGCCGCACCCAACAGCGAGCCCGCCGAAACTGGCGACGCACCCGCAGCGGACGAGCCGTGCCGACCAGTCGAGCTCGCTGCTGCCGTGGACGCCCAGCGCCCAGCTCACGCCCTGGGCGACGGCATCGCCCAGGCCGGCCGCCGCAGCGCCTGCGGCGGCCGCCGTCAGCATCGGCCGCTCGTGAAGCGCCCGTGCGTGCCAGCGGAGGAGAGGCGGGAGGCCGCGAGATGAGCCGGCGTCGGCGCAGTCGCGGCGGCTCAGCGTCGTGACATCGTGCCAGCCGCGGCACTGGAGACGTGGTTGGAGTCGGAGAGGCCGGAGCCGAAGCAACATCTTCCTCTACTTGCGCGACAGGAGGCTGTGGAGCGCGAGCGCTTTATTTCTTACGAGTAGGGATCCCTACTCGCAAAGGAGGTTCGCAGCACCCTGAGGGAGGCGGCGAACCAGCTGAGCAACAAACTTTCGCACGCTCAGCACCTGGACGAGGTCACATGGACCACCAAGAACTGGCACGGGCTGCAGATGCAGCGCTTGTCTGTCGTCCTCCACACCGCCGTGGCGTGGCAGACGGTGAACGAGCTAGCGTGCGGGGAGAGCGGCATTGTGCATGGTGCGGAGTGCATTGCCGTTCTTAACGGAGTCGCTTAGGCGGCTCCGGTGGTGAGCCTGTGTGTGTGCCAGTCCGCGCCAGTCCGCGCCCTTGTCGTGCCAGTGTGCTGTGAGAGAGGCTTGTATCTTAAGAATTCTTACTCGCACAACACTGGGCAAGGGACTGTGTCCCAGTCGTTGGTCGGACTGTGTTTCGCTTTCCCATCAATCAATCACGGGACTGGCGCGCACTGCACTAACACAGGTACACCACTGAGGGAGTTTTGTTGTAAAATTCTTACTCGAGTAGCGTGCCGGCTGTGTGAGAGAGAGAGAGAGATGTGTGTGAGTGCCAGTCCGCGCCAGTCCGAGAGAGAGAGATTTTTAGCAATGTGTGTTTGCCAGTCCGCGCCCTTGTCGTGCCAGTGTTCTATTTTAAGAATTCTTCACACGGTGTGGCGCATCCACAGCCCTCCTCACGCGCAGAGCCTTGGCTTGCCGGTCGGACCTAAAAAAATTACTTGCGCTTTTCTTTGTCGCCCGAGCGAAAGGAATTCTTTCTCGCGGTGGAACGTACGTAATTCGGGCAAACCTGCGCCGTCGGCCCCCCCCATTCTCAAGTTGTGCAAATGACGACTGCCGAGCCCGGCATTGACGTTGCCATTGAGCGGGCGGAGCGGGAGGCGAGGGAGGCCAGTCAGGCTGTCGAGCTCGCCAAGAGCCGCAGCGACGAGCACGAGCGCCGCTCGTACCGACAGTCTGAGCGGGCGAGTGCTGGCAACGTGATAAGCCAATCGCGGCGGTCGAGCTTCTTTCAGTCCAAGAAGATCAGCTACCGCGACGAATCGGTGCCCCCGACACGGGCCGACCTGCTTCCGGACCCCAAGGTGAAGGCCTTCACACCGGCGTCGGAGTGGGAGCCGCTCCTCAATGGCGAGGTTGCCGTGCTCGCGACGGTGCGAGAGTGGCTGGGAGGGGAGCGTTTCGACGCCGTGCCGTACGACCTGCTGATGTGCTTCCTGCGAGGGTACGCCTACAGGCAGGACTGGGCCGAGACGGTGTACGTGGAGCTCTCCGAGGCGCTCGACTGGCGTGACCGCCACGCGGCGTCTTCCGCGCTGGCACACCCGCCGCCGCACCGCGCGCGCTTCGAGGATCTCAACGAGAGCGGTCCCATCGGGCACGACCAGGAGGGTCACATCGTCGAGCTAGTCAAGCTCGGGCGGCTCAAGGTGGCGGAGCTCTTCAAGCACTTCGACGTGGAGGACATCCTCCCGCACATCGTGTACTCTGCCGAGGCCAAGCGCGCGTGCAATCTGGCCAACTCGAAGGCGCGCAGGAAGCGCATCTACAAGGTGGTGACGGTCATCGACTGCGCCGGCCTCAGCAGCAGCGTGATGGGCAAGCAGTTCCAGACCCTGATGCGGAAGACGTCCGAGGTGCTCTCCGGCCACTACCCCGAATCGATGTGCAAGACGTACATCATCAATGGCCCGTTCATCGTGCGCGCCGTCTGGGGCGTCGCAAAGCACATGATGCACCCCATTTCGGCGGCCAAGTTCTCCTTCCTTGGCTCCGACTGGAAGAAGGTCTTTGCGCGAGACGGCCTCATCATTGACGGCGGAACGCTGCCCGACAAGGTTAGCTGGTCCGAGGCAGCCAACAAGGTCTTCGAGGCAGACGGGGGGCCCGAGGTAAGCCCCTTCCCCTCCCGCCGGGTGGGTCAAGGGCGTGCTCGTCTCACTACCCCCCTCCCCCCCCCCGCCCCGCCCCCCGTCCACAGCTCGTCACGCGTGGCTGGGCGCCCCCGGAGGACCTCAGCTGCTTGGGAAAGCTTGCGGCCACGTGAAGTCTATGTGCAGTGCTAGTGCGCTGTTGAGTATCCGTCGCGCAAGCCCGAAATGAGCCTGGCGACCCGGCATGTGTGTACGTTCCCACCCCCGATACGTCTATTTTGCATAGTCTAATCTCCCTTGAGCGTCGATTCACACGTGATCTCGTGAGAGCGTCGATTCATGAGCCGGCGCGATTCAGCGTCTCGAGCGAAACAAACGAGCTACGAGGTCGGCGCGGGGCTCAGCGGGTGGTGGGCATTCAGCTCTTCCAACTCACGTCGCTCACGAGAGACCCTCACCCTGATCTAGTTAACACACGCAAAAAAGAGCACATGCTCATGCACACATGAGCGCGTCGATTCAATCGAATGCAATGTATATCTAAGATCTGGGAGCGACCGCTCGAGCGACACGCGAGAGCACGCTTTCTCACCCGTGTCGGCTTCAGCTCTCAGACGGAGGTCGGAGCGCTCGCGTCTTCTCAGCTCTCACCCCCTCTCTCGGCCGCGAACCCAACTGCACGCCGAACCCGGCTCGCAATGTCGGCCTCTCCGCACCAGAGAGATCTCAACACGTCAAAACCTGTCAGGTGCCTCTCCCTTGCGCGGCTGCCACGCCTGTCTGCATTCTCTGCGTCGCCCTCAGCGCCAACGCCCTCGGCGGTTTCGCCCTTGCCCCCCTCCTCTCCTGCACCGCGCAGCAGCTGCGCCGCGACGATGGCGCCGAAGACGAGTGCTCCTACTTTGCTCCTCGAGGGTGGAGCGGCGAGCTAGGCGCGCGAGCGCGGCGCTTGCAGGGCGCGCGCCAAAGTCTCGGTTCGACTGGAAGATGCGCAGGCAGTCTGGCGGCGAGTCGAGCCGCACGGTGCGCAGCTGCCAGACGAGATGCCCGCCCGCGGCGGCGAGGCCGCAAAAGTAGACGTAGCCGCCGGGACTGCCTGCGGCGCCAAGGCCTGCGCCTGCGCCGGCGCCAGCGAGCCCTCCGATAGCGCCGGTCGAGAAGAGGGTGAGCGCCGGGAGGGTGCTGTCGCCTTGGCGTTAGGCGGGGAGGAGGGCGTGAGGGGTCTCGTCGCTCGCTCCGGAGCCACACCTCTCGGCTGCACCTCGGCTGCATCTCGGCTGCATCTCGGCTGCATCTCGGCTGCACCTCGGCTGCACCTCGGCTGCATCTCGGCTGCACCTCGGCTGCATCTCGGCTGCACCTCGGCTGCATCCGGGCTGCACCTCGGCTGCACCTCGGCTGCATCTCGGCTGCATCTCGGCTGCATCTCGGCTGCGGCTCGCCTAGTCGGAGCGCTGTCGACCGGACGCCGGCTGCGGCGTCGTCCCTCCTGTCCTGTGGCGGATGCGGGCGGGCGGTGGGAGAGGCGCGCCTAGCCGGGCGATGGGCGAGGCGCGCCTAGCCGGGCGGCGGCGGAGGGGCGGCTGCGGAGGGGCGGCGGAGGAGGGCGGCGGCGAGGGAGAAGGCAGGGGCGAAAGACGGGCGGGCAAGGGAGGGCGGGGTGGGGAGGGCGGGCGAGGGCGGGTGCGTGCTTGGTGCGCGTAGACGGTGTCGTAGTGCAGCGTCCAGAGCCAGGCGCCGCCGTACAGAGGAGCCTATTGCGCCAAAGGGGGGGGGGGGTTGCGGGCGGAGGGCTAAGGCGGGGCGGGAGACGGACCCTCGCCCTCTCTCACCACCACCGCCCAGTCGACGTCGCCGCGCACCGCCACCCAGCCGAGCAGTCCGCCTGCTCACACACCCCGCCCACCCTCACGCCTCCGACCAGCCCATGCCGCGCCCGCACGCAGCAAGGCGCCATAGTTGATGGCAGCACCGAGCACCGCCTGCGAGCGGGGGACAACCTCGAGTCTCTCTGCCGCCCCGAGCGTGCGCTGGGCATCTCGGCTGCCTGAGGCCAGTCCGTGACCCGCTTGGCGAGAGGGTAGAGCACCCATAGAGGCGTGCTAGCCAGCCCCGCCGCAACCGCAGGCAACGGCAGCGCGAGAAGCACGCCCAGCGCGACGCTGAGCTGCGCGCCCAGGAAGCCGATCGCCTGGAGGCGCAGCGCTGGCGTGACCCTTCCCGCCGCCTCTCTCTTGGCCAACGGAGGCAAGAGGACAGAGCGCCTGCGACGGCTGGAGCGCGCCGCGTGCGAGGGGTCGGTGGCGCGTTCGCTCGACACGCCGGTCAAAGTCGCGGTCCCACAGGTCGTTGACCGTGCAGCCGGCGCCGCGCATGGCCACCGCGCCCGCCGCAAACAGACTGCACAGCAGCGGGTCTGGCGGCGTGCCGGCCGGCGCCGCGAGCGCTATCGACCAAAGGCAGGGCCAGAGCAACAGCCACGTCCCGATCGGGCGATCCCAGCGCGCAAGCTCGCCGTACGGGACCAGCCACGCCGGCATGCGGGCAGACAGCCACATATCAGAGCGAATGTCTGTGAAGCCGCCGCCATCGAGACCGCCGCCACCGCCACCGCTAACGCCGCCGCCGCTTCCGCCGCCGCTTCCGCCGCCGGCAGCGTATCCGTGCCGCAGGGTAAGCTGCGCCGGGCGGAGGCTGCGGAGCCACACGCGGCTCACAGGACGTGCCGCTCGCAACATCTGTGGGTGCATGTGCGTGAATTCACAGACCTCTCGGGGTTCTCGTATCCTTTGGCCGCGTTGGGTAGCGGAGGGCGCCTGGGTCTAAATTTAGTGCGTGTGAATGAATTTTAGTGATAGTTTAGTGCGCTATTTAGTGTGTGTTCGAGTGCGTTCATATTTAGCACATATTCACGTATTTAGCGTGGTCTCTACTCGCCAGCTTGGGGTAGGGCGGAGAAGAAAAGAAAAAGATCGTGGCTGCACGAAAAAATGTTGCTCGCGTCCTGCCTCGCCACTGGCCTGCTCGTCGGCATCGACCTTGGCACCACCAACTCGGCCATAGCGCTGTTGCGAGGCGGCGAGCCGTCGCTGCTCCCGAACGCGCGCGGCGAGCCGCTGACACCTTCCACCGTCGCCTTCACCGGCGACGGCACCGTGCTGGTGGGCGCGGCCGCCGACCTTCAGGCCAGCCAGAACGTGCGCAACACGGTGGTGGCGGCCAAGCGCTTCATTGGGCGGACCGTGCGCCAGTGCAAGGCCGAGATTGCACGTGCGCAGTATACGGTGGTCGGCGACGAGGAGGGCGCCGCCATGTTTCGGCTTCCTGCGGTGGGCGATCTGAGTCCGGAGGAGGCCGGCGCGTGCGTGCTGGCCGAGCTGCTCGGGGCGCTCGACGTCCCGGCGAGCGAGATCTGCCGCGCAGTCGTGACCGTGCCCGCCTACTTCGACGCGCCTCAGAGGCAGGCGACGCTCGCAGCGGCCCGGCTCGCCGGGCTCGGCTCGGTCTCGCTGCTCGCGGAGCCGGTCGCCGCATCGCTCGCCTACGGCCTCGGCGGGGCGGTCGGCAAGGTGCTCGTCCTCGACCTCGGCGCCGGAACCTACGACGCGTCTGTGCGCCGGAGCCTTCTAGGAGCCTTCTAGGAGCCCTCTAGGCGCCGGAACCTACGACGTGTCTGTGCTGCGGCTCGGCGACGAGGGCGCCGTCGAGGTGCGCCACACGCCCTGGAGCCTTCTAGGAGCCTTCTAGGAGCCTTCTAGGCCGTCGAGGTGCGCCACACGCCCTGGGCCGGGCCTCACCGCCGCCCATCCGCGCCGCACCGCCGCCGCTCTGGCCGCTGCACACGCCTGACAGCACGCCCCTGGCCTCGCTTCGGCGGCCTCGCCCGAGGTGCTCGCCACCTCGGGGGACCCGCTCCTCGGCCTAACCCCCACCCTGTCCCTCCCCCTCCCCCTCACCCTGTCCCTAACCCTAACCCGAGGTGCTCGCCACCTCGGGGGACCCGCTCCTCGGCGGGACAGACTTCGACGCCGCCATCGTCGCGCTCCTCCTCGCGGAGGTGCTGCCGGGGCCTGCGGGGGCGGGGCGGGGCCTGCGGGGGCGGGGCGGGGCCTGCGGGGGCGAGGACCTCTCTTCCACCACTAGGAGGACCGGGGCCGGGGAGCACTCTCCCGCCGGCTCCGCACGACAGAGCAGCGCACGACAGAGCAGCGCGGGCCCAGCCGCAGTCCTCCCCCTCGCCGCCTTCCGTCTCCCTCTAACCCCCCCTCCCCCCCCCCCCTCGCGGCCCAGGGGCGGAGGCTCGCCCTCCCCGCCATCGACCACGACGAGGCCGCGCTGCGCACTCTGCGCGAGCGCGCCGAGGCGGCCAAGCCGCAAGCTGTGACAATACCACCAAAAACATGACATATTCATCAATCATACTCGGGTCTAGGCGGCGAAGCGCAAGCTCTCGGTCGTCAAGCGCGTCTCGGTCCTCTTCCCGTCGCCGCAGTCGCCGGCGACGGGCGACCGTGAGGGCGGCGGCGAGGGCGGCGAAGGCACCTCGATCGAGCTGACCCGCGACGCGATGGAGGCTGCGTGCGAGCCGCTGCTGCAGCGGCTCAAGGCGCCTCTTTACGAGGTTGCGCTCGCTGCCGCAGTGTCGCTGCCAGGGGAGGCGCGCATGCCCCCGCCCTCCCGGCTTGCGCGAGGGTGGCCGGAGCCCTCCGTTTGGGTCGCACGTCCGAGGCAACCCTCGCGCAGGCGGCGCCGTCGTCGCCAGCAAAGAAGCGGACGGCGAAGGCGAGGCGCGCGGCGGAGGCGTGCCCTGGCAGAGCGGGCTGGGCCCTCTGGGGCTGCGGGGGGCGTGAGGGAGCCTGGTCCCCGCCGCGTAGGCGTGAACAGCGTCTCTTCACACCTGCAGTTGTGACACAGGTGGATTGTCAAGATGGTCCCCCGCCGCGTAGGCGCTCCTGCCGAGCGGCAAGCGAACCTACCTCCCGCGAGGGGAGCCGCTCGCGGAGGTGGTCCTGGTGGGGGGTGCCACGCAGATGGCGGCGGTGCGCAAGCTGGTCGCCAACTTGTTTGGCATCGACCCGCGCAGGACGGTGGCGCCGATGGAGGCGGTGGCGTTGGGCGCGGCTGTGCACGCAGGCATGCTTGCTGGCGCGCTGCCAGGCCATGTGATGCAGGCGTGGCAGGCGGAGCTGGGCCGGCTGATGGAGGGGGCGAGCGCTCCGGCGACGGAGGGCGGTGGGGAGGAGGAGGAGGACTTGCCCTTTTCATTTACGGATGAAGGGCAGGCGAGATGATTTGGCACTTGTGGACGCAGCGGCGCGTGAGTGAGATGGTAAAGTGATGAGAAGAGCTGTACGTGTGTGTGTTGCAACACACCGTGCCGCGCAACCGCAGTGTAGCGTTTGAAAAGCCGAGAAACCGGTTGAGAGCGTAGGGTAGCGTTCCTACGCACACACACAAAGATAGACACACACATCGCTCACATGCGGACTTCGGAGCCGCGAGCGCGACGAAACTGGGCCGAGGCGGGCGGGGAGGCGCGCGATGGCCGATGCAACTCGCGCCATCGAGGGGTGGGGAGCTAAAGTTTTTGTTCGCGCATGTGTGCTATCTACCATGCCGTGGTTGCGAGGCGCGGGCTGGACCTAACTTAATCTACTACCATGCCAGTGGCTAAGACCTAAGTAAGTACGGCGAACAAGCAACAACAGCCTGGCTCGGGCTGGACCGAGTTGCAGAAACGAGCTTTTAGTGGCTATAAGCATAGGCACTGATATATACGTGCGCGCGGAGCGCGCTGGTGCTACCTGGACATACGCGCGGAGCGCGCTAGCTGGACACCCGCGCGGAGCGCGCCGGCTAGATACCGCGGAGCAAGAGCAAATCAACACAACCGTTCGAGTGCTGACGCCGCAAGTCGCTGCCGCCGGCTGCCAAAGTGCGCCTGGATTGCTCAGCAGCACAAGCATCCACGGAGCCAGCGAGCGCCGAGCGACATTGCCTTGACTGAGCCGGACCGCCGACATGTCGGCGGTCAAACTTGTAAAATGGTGCCGATAGCCGAGGTAGCTCCGGCGGACGTGAGAGCGCGGCCTGACGATGAAGGGAGGCGCAGATAACTGGCGGTGAACTCACTGCTGATACCTGCTGGAGCTGCGGAAGATGCAGTAGCACTGCCGCAGTGCGCAGAGCACGCGCGGAGCGCGCCGCTGGAAAGCACGCGCGGAGCGCGCCGCTGGGTAGGTGCGGAGCGCCGCCACTTGAGATTCGGCCTGCGTGTGAGTCAAACTCTTAATAGAAATCGCCCTCCAGCCCTCCACGCTCCACAACCCTCAAAATTTTCTTCGGGGCGCGCTCCGCGCGCGGCGCTCCGCGCCTCACTCCTTGAGCGTCATAGGCGCTGGCCTGCACATGTTCTGCAGCTTGGCGGGGCTGGACACCAACTCTCCCAACTTAAAATCCCTGGTGGTGGCGGCGTGCCGTCCTCCCTCCCATCCCTCCCGTGGTTTGTCTTTCTTTCTTTCTTTCTTTGGACACCAACGCGGTATGGGTGCTACAGGTCCTACCCAAAAAAATTTTTTTTTGGTTGTCTACGCTCCCGCCGGCACACTCTCCAGTCTGTCCCGTCCCTCGCTGCATCGACGACAATGTCGCAAGGCCAGGCCTCTGAACCGCACACGTCCGTGCGCTTCACCACCAAGCTCGAGCCGCGGTGGGTGGTATCGGACACGCCTCTCGACCTGCCCACCCGCCTCTCCCGCTACGGCCTCTCGGAGGTGGTGAACCACCTTCTCGGCGCGTCGCCCGCGCGGCCGTTCGACTTTCTGCTCGACGGCGAGCTGCTGCGTGGCTCGCTCGGCAAGGCTCTCGCGGCGCGCGGTCTCTCGGGCGAGTCCACCATCACCCTCGAGTACATCGAGCTCCTCGCGCCACCGCAGCCGAGGGGCGAGGCGCTGGTCCCGGACTGGATCTCCTCGCTGGCGCTGGCTGCCCCGGGCTCGAGCGTAGCCTCTAGCAACCCGGTGCTCTCGGGCTGCTACGACGGCGCCGCCTACCTCTGGGACGCCTCGGGCGTCCAGGCTGCCGCGCTCGGCGGCGGAGAGGGCGCTGCCGCTGTCAAGGCAGTTGCCTGGCTGGGCGAGCGGCCGGTGGTGGCGTCCAAGGACGGCGCCGTGCGCGTGTGGGCGGCGGGCGGCTCGGCGGGCGGCGCGGCGCAGCTCTCGTGCGTTGGCCACCACGCCGCCGTCGCGTGTCTCGCTGCAGCGCCCGCCGCCGACAGCCTCGCGACGGGAGGCTGGGACCGCAGCATCCTCCTCTTCCGCCCGCCCGCCGACGGCGTGCCGGCGGCGAGCAGCGAGCCCCCGCCCAGCAAGCGCGCCCGCGGCGGCGCGTCCGCTGTGACCGCCGCCGTAGCCCCGGAGGAGCTCGCCGCCGCCGCCCAGCTCTGCGGCCATACGGACTGCGTCTCTGCGCTGGCGTGGCCGACAGCAGCGCTGCTCTACTCGGCCTCCTGGGACGGGACGGTCCGCGAGTGGGACGCGGCGGTCGGCGCCGCCACCGCGACCCTCTCCTCGTCGGGCAAGGCCGCGCTCTGCCTCGACGTCTCCCTCTCGCCCGCCACTGTCGCGACCGGCCACTCGGACCACCAGCTGCGGCTGTGGGACGCGCGCTCGCGTGGCGGCGCGCCGACGGGCGCCATCCCCCACCACGGGTGGGTCTCGTCGGTCGCGTGGTGCGGCGTGCGAGAACACCTCCTCGTCAGCGGCTGCCACGACGGCGGAGTGCGGCTCTGGGACACGCGCTCACCCCGAGTGGCGCTGCACTCGCTGCCGCGGCACAAGGGCAAGGCGCTCTGCGTCGCGTGGGACGGCGCCGACGCGGTCGTCTCGGGCGGCACCGACGGGCAGCTCCGCATCTCGACGCTGGCCGCCTGAGCCAGGGCTGGAGGGAGCGGGCGTGTCGTCCACTCCCGCCGCGAGCGCACAGTGGCACACACGTGACGCATAACTCGCCGACGTGCGAGCTGTGCCGAGACGTGACGGCTGACGCGTCGAGCGGTAGCGGTAGAGGAAAGGAGAGTCGCAAACGCTTTCAATCATACTCTACCGCTGCATACACAACACCGGCCGCGCCGCCGCCCCCCGCGCGAGGGCCGAGGCGCCAGGCCCTGCGCGGACCCGGACACCTCCGCCCTCTGGCCGCCGCTCAAAGCGCTCTCTGCTCGTGAGCTGTCGGCGGAGACGCAACAGCTTCACGAATCAGACGCAAAAGGGCCAGCGAGAGAGAGATTAGAATGTAGAGCCCCTCGGCGATCGCAGCGATCTCGAAACGCCCTAGCTGCGCCTCTGACTTAGTTAGGAGGACTAGTCGTCGTCGCGAGCTCGTTTTTTTCCCGTCACGGAGCTCACAAGATTCGACGAAAGCGAATTCATCGTGTCCTCGGCCGAGCCGACCAGATTTGTCGAGAACAATGCCTTCGCTGCGTCTCTGGCCTCGTCGAAGGCCATCTCGATTTGCGGCGATAGCTTTGCCTAGGACCGGGTGAAATTCAGGGTTAGCTTTGCCCAGGTACCCAGGCGTCACCTGCGATCCGCGCGCACCAAGGCGTCATCTGCGATCGCTTTTGCCTTGTTTAGAAGAGAAGTGTTGATCTCCTCGGTCTGGCTCGACATGGCGTCTTTGAGTGCCGACTTTGCCTGGGACATCGCGGCCGTGCTCAACGAGGAAAACAGCCCGCCACCCTCGTCACGCGACGAGGATCCGCCCGAGCCATCCATCGCCTCATTCGCTTTCTCGAGGAGCGATGACGAGAGAGACTCCATAGCCTGTGGGGGAGAGCGTATGGTGAGCAAGTGTGCTAGCGGGGATGAGAACGACCTTCTCCGCGGGGACAACCTTCTCCGCGTGTCCAACGAGCTTGGCACCGAGCTCTTGCTTCGCGTTGTCTCGCGCACCGTTGAAGGCCTCATCAATTTGAGGCGAGAGAGATTCCATCACATTTTCTGCCGCGCCTGAACGGACGAGGAAAATGTGGCACGCGGACGGCTGAGAGAATGCGGCGCGGGACCGAGGCTTGAGGGTGCCTGCAGCCTTGCCGAGGAGCGATTTTGTGACCGAGCCGGTGAGGCTGGACATGGCATCACTTGCACCCTCGATTTTTGAATGAAATTTTGTGTGAAGAGGACTCCGAGGCCCGGCAATCACACCCCTGCATGCATGGCAATTCCGACCCTGGCATGAATTTATCCCTCCCCCCTCCATTGCCCGAGGGGGCAATTACCGACGTGCGACGAAACCGCTGCACGGCCGGAAGGTTGTGCAACCGTCGCGCGTCCAATTATGGTTGCGAAATGAAAGGCGACCTGGTTGCGGGGCGGGGTGCTGACTCGCCGCCGCCACCGCCTCCTCCTCCGCCGCCACCGCCGCCGCCGCCTCCGCCCCCACCGCTGCCGCCATTGCCGCCAGCCTGGCTGCTTGTCAGCCCCACCGGCATCGTATTGGAGGCTTGCGCCGCCTGGGCAGCGCTCACTGGCAGCCCAGCAAAGGAGCTGTTCGGGCCGGCGACATGTCGCAAGACAGTCGGTGCGCTCGCCACGGCCATGATGCAGACCAAGCCAGTGCGAGTAATGCTGATCTTATACTCTACCGGCGCGCCCGGGCGGTTCCTGGTGTCATCATGGCCGGTTTATAATGCTGGCAGCCTCGTTGCATTTCGATGGGATTTGAGTGAAGACGTCGCTTGGAAGGCCGGTCCGAGGCCAGCACCGACACGGGTGGCATCTGTCCCTATCTCCTGGGCGGAGCAGACGGCGGGGTGGGCGGCAGAGGTGGAGGCCATGGTGAAGGGAGCGGCGGCAAAGGCGGTGGCGCCAGCGGCAGAGGCGGTGGCGACAAAGGAAGAGGCGGCGGCGGCGGTGGGAGCGAGCACGGCGCCTCCAATCATGACCTCACCGGGCCTTTGGCCAGACATAGATATGATCTCGCCGGAAGTTTGGCCAGACCTGCCGTCAGTGGACACACCTGCACCACCTGCTGGTGTGGTCTATGTGCCCGTTGATACGGAGAGGTACCAGCAGCAGCAAGGAGCACCGACCGAAGACCCTGGCGACGAGGACGACTGGGACCGCCTATTCGCCGGCATTTTCTCTTCCAGCGAAATCGCGGCCATGAAGCGCGATTGCTCAAGGAGCGCGATTGCCAAGTGCGATTGCTCTTTGCCGCCCTCGCCGCCAGCCAAGCCGGCGCCGCCACGCCCAGCCTTGTGGCCGCTGCCGGCGCGGCCGGAGCTGGCATCGATCCAGGTCTCGCTCGCCCTAGTGGTGGTGTGCGCCGCCTTCCTAACCGAGCTCTACACGAGCCCGGTCTTTCTTTTCGCTGCGGCGGGCTGCGCGGTGGTGGCCATCCTGGCACTGACCTCGCGTCGAACTGACCTCGCACGCATGATGACGCTGCTGGTCGTCTCGGCAGCCTCTCTGCGTGTCGTCGAAGTCCGGGTCCGCTCGCCGACAGCGCTGGCCCGTGACTTGGACACGTTTGCGGATGCAAGCCCAGCCCTGCTCACGCTCTGTTCAGCGGTCGGCGCCGTTTTCGGATCCTCTAACATCCCTTCCACCCGCAAGCTGCTCGTAGCATCATACTACGCGGGCGCGGCAACATCCTCTGGCGTGCTTGTGCGTGTCCGGACTGGTGACGAGCGCATGCCTTCCTTCGAAATGCTGCACGGCTTCCTCCCCTTCCTCGCGGCCTCCCTCGCGGCCCATGCAGCCAGCAGACTCAGACAAGACGCTTCCGCCCTTGACTCTGGCTGGCCGTCTCCGAATGCGGTGCAGCAGGGCTGTGCCACGCGCTTCACCAGCGCTGAAGGCTGGGGACGGAAGGTGTAAATATCAGAATGCTAGACGGAAAATGTCTTGTGAGTTTGTGTGTCTGTGTGTCGCTCCAGCGTGCCGTCATCTCCTGTCTTGCGTAAGGTAAGGCGGCAAGGTAAACTTCTCCACACACACGAGGGGTGGTGGGGCAAGGGGGGGGCGACCCTCGCGTCTCCACGTCTATAACGACAGGAGCCCCACGGCATTCAAAGTGCAAGGCCCAGTGCGCGTGGGTGAGCGGGGTGTGTGTGTGGGGGGGGGGGGGGGGGTCACGTCACTGCGTCCACGAGGCTGCTCCGAACCACCACCTCGTGTGTGTGGAGAAGAGTTTACCTTACCTTACCTTACCTTACCTGCTCTCCGCACTCACTAAAGCTCCGAGCTCCGACGCTCCTCAGCCATCTGCCACTTCGCTGCAGGCTGCACCGCGTGCCGGACAGCTTCCACAGATCACACCTCAAAACGGTTGCGGATTTTGCCCTTTCGTCTTTGGTTACCGGCTCATCTAGTTCTACAACTGTGCGTACGCTGTACCCCGCCTGCATCGCTGTATGCCCGCTACCTAGCTTACCTTAGTATATAAGCAACCGACGTAAACATGAAACCAACAGAAACCGAGAGCACCGCTGTACTGCGGGTAGCTACAGCACCGTACGACAGCTCACGACTGTGCATGCCGAAGTAGGTCACGTACAGACGAGCAAATGGAGCAGCTGGTTCCCCGACTCAAGCGCCAAGCCCTGCCGGGGTGCCCCACAAACCTTGCCCATCCGTCGCGGCATCGGGAGCTTGCGCGACCCGCCTCTCAGCCCCAATCCAGCGAGGAGAGCGCGTATGCGAGGGCGACCGCAGCGAGGACGGAGGAGTACAGGATGAGCCCGTGCCTACCCGTAGTGAGCACGGAGGGTAAACAAGCGGGGGCGCCCGGGGCAGGAAACACTACTGCGCCGGCGCATGTCGAGGTCGACAAACGAGCGCTGAAAGATGAGCGCCCGGTGCACCACGCCCGGCAGCCGCAGCGCAGCGAGGGCGCCAACCGGCAGCAGGACCGCGGCGGCGAGGGCATAATCACGCGCCTGAGGCGCCAGGTATATAAATATACATAGGTGGCCTTGCTGGGCGAGGCGGAGCAGCCGCGGGAGGGCGTGTCTTATGAAGTGTGTAGGAAGTGTCCGCGGGAGGGCGTGTCTTATGAAGTGTGTAGGAAGTGTCCGCGGGAGGGCGTGTCTTATGAAGTGTGTAGGAAGTGTCCGCGGGAGGGCGTGTCTTATGAAGTGTGTAGGAAGTGTCCGCGGGAGGGCGTGTCTTATGAAGTGTGTAGGAAGTGTCCGCGGGAGGGCGTGTCTTATGAAGTGTGTAGGAAGTGTCCGCGGGAGGGCGTGTCTTATGAAGTGTGTAGGAAGTGTCCGCGGGAGGGCGTGTCTTATGAAGTGTGTAGGAAGTGTCCGCGGGAGGGCGTGTCTTATGAAGTGTGTAGGAAGTGTCCGCGGGAGGGCGTGTCTTATGAAGTGTGTAGGAAGTGTCCGCGGGAGGGCGTGTCTCTCCACGCTCTCGCGCGCCTTGTGGGCGAGCCTCAGCAGCGGCGCGGCGACGTCCGCCGTCGCCCGCATGTTGGCAGCGAGCTCGAGCACCTATCCAAGGCTCGGAGAAGGGTTCAAAAGAGGTTCAGACAGAGAGGGCGCATTGGCGGACGTCTCCAGCACCGACCCGACAGCGCCTGCGCAAGCGTAGACGCACAGGGCGGCGACGCACAGCCGCTTGCGCAGCGAGGCGGTGCGAGCGAGGCCGGCCTACAGGCCAGCGAGGCGCCTCCGCAAACGGCAGTCGGGCGCGCAGAGGGCCTTTCCAGCGGCGCTGCTCGCCGGCCCCAAAACGGCGCACGCCGCCGCGAGCTGCAGGGTGGCGGCCGCACAGAGGGTGGCGGCCGCGACGTAGCAGGCGCGGCGGCGGCGGCTCGACGGCGCGCGCGCCGAGCGGTGGGGGCGCAAGTCGGCGGCGGCGAGGGCGACGAGCGAGGCGAGGTAGGTTGCGCCCGTGCAGACGAGGCGCGGCTCGCACACCCACCCCCGCGTGGCGGCGAAGTTGTCGACATTGGTCTGGAGCGGGATGAGGTAGGCGATGAACGAGTAAAACGCCGCGACAGAGACGCGTCCGAACTGCTCGTTCCACGCCGCGTCCTCGGCGGCCATGCCCCCGCGCGCGGGCGGCCCGTGCAGCCGCGCGTACCACTCCTCCCAGCCTCCGCCCGTCACCCAGCCGCAGAAGCCGCGCACGTCCGCCTTGACCTGCCACGCCTCGAGCTGCTGCGGGTTGTACAGCAGCGGCGCGAGGACGAAGCACGAAGCCACCGCCCAAGTGGGCCACGTCGTGAGGAAGAGCCGGTCCGAGACGGACCAGACGTGCGCCATGCAGAGAAAGACGTACACGTCGGCGGCGACGTAGAGGTGCGAGTGCGCAAAGCGCGCGTGCAGCTCGTGGTAGGGCGTGTGAAGCACTGAGGCGTTCCGCCGCGCGGCGAAGTAGGACGCGCCGCCCGCCTGTGGTGATTGATAAGCTACTAATAAGCTACTACGAAGCTACGAATCAGCTACTAAATAAGCTACGAATTAGCTGCTAATGAACTGCCGCCCGCCGTGACGGTGCGCGCAAAGTGGAAGGACTTTGTCTGCGCGACAAAGATGAAGTAGACGGGCGAGGCGGTGATGGCCATCCCAAGCAAGAAGGAGAGGGCCCGGCGAGGCCCTCTCTCAACCAGCACCATGCAGAGCGCGGGCACGGCCTACGACGGGGAAGCACGTGATGAAGAGGATGGGCAGTCGTTACAGACACGCAAGAGCGGGAGGGCCGTCATGAGCGAGAGCAGCAGCGGGAGCAGGGCGAAGAGCGAGAGGGGCTGCGCCTCGTAGTTGTTGAAGCGGTGATCGAGGCCGACGAGCGCGAGCATCGCGAGCAGGTAGGGGATGAGGACCTGCTCGGCCATCCGCAATGAGGAGTGCGGTGCTCGCCATCCATCCCTCGCGCGCGCGGGCACGGGGCGAGGGACAGGCGCGGGGCGAGGCACCGTCACGTGCATCACGATCACGTCGTGCACGTAAAAGGCGATGGCCGAGTAGTAGTACGAGAAGAGCTTCACGAGCGGCGCGCTGGCGGCGAAGCGCGCCACGTCGCGCGTCGTGAGCGACGCGGCGGAGCCGGAGGAGAGCTTCGCGAAGAAGCCGGTGATCTCCATCAGGTTTGTGGGCCGCCCCTTGCCCACGAGGTGGTACTCGCGAAAGACGACGCAGCCGCCGGCGAGCACCGTCTTGTACCCGCTAAAGATGTCCTCGCTCAAGTTGATCTCCTTGGACGCCTTGCTCACCCCGCCGCGCGTGGCGAAGTGCAGCTTGTCGAGCAGGTCGGGGTGGCCTAGAATGTGCCAAGAAGGTTCCAAGACGGTTCCCAGAAGAAGTGCAGCTTGTCGAGCAGGGCGGGGTGGCCGTAGTGCAGCCGAACGTCCAGCGGCTCGTCGAGCACACGCTGCACGAAGGAGCCGAAGTAGCGCTCCTGCAGCCCGATGAAGATGGCGGTGACGAAGCCGGACGACTGCGTGAAGATGTGCTCCGGGAAGCCGATGACGGTCACCGGCCCGGCTTTGGCGGACGACTCGAACTCCTGCAGCAGCGGCCGCATCTTGAGCGCCTCCTCCCAGTACCCCTCTTGGTTCATGTCCACCATCTGCACCCTCTCGCCGTGGCAAAACGGCAGCGCCACGTTCTGGTTCTCGGGCTTGCCCTCGCCGAGGATCGGGTTGCCGGGGAGGCCGACGCGGCTCTCGCACCTCACGCCCCCCTCCCCATCGGAGCACACCAGCATCGCCGCCCACGCCTCCTCCTCCTCCTCCCCCCCTCCCTCGCCGCCGCCGCCCCTGCGCTCGACGTAGGCGACCCGCAGCGAAGGGAAGGCGTGCATAAGCGCCTCGATATCGACCGCTCGCGGGTCGCCCGCCCGCTTGTAGTCGCCATAGACCTGGCACGCGCACACGTAGCCCACCTTGCGCTGCGCCAAGGCACTGGCGGCGGCGGTCTGCGAGGCGGCGGGCAGAGGGGGGGCGGGGCCGCCTCCCGCTGAACCCGCCTCCACGGCCACGAGGAAGGCCAAGGCCGACTCGTAGTACATCATGCCTAAGGAAGGCTCCGAGCAGGTTCCGAGAAGGTTCGAGGAAGGCCAAGGCCGACTCGTAGTGCATCATGCCGTAGACGGTGCGCGCGAGAGTCTGGCCTCGCATCGAGGCCCACAGCCGCAGCTGAAGGGCCAGCCTAAGGAAGGTTCCAAGAAGGTTCCGAGAAGGTTCCTAGAGGCCCCACAGCCGCAGCTGGAGGGCCAGCCTCGGCTCCGAGGCGCAGCGCGCGACGCTGAGCGCGGAGGGCGACTCGCCGAGCCGCTGCGCGAAGTTTGCCCACTCGTCGCGGTGAAGGCCGCGCAGCACCTCGAGGAGGGAGCGGCCAGTGAGCTACGAATGAGCCTGCATGCTAGCTAGGAATGGGCTAGTAAGTGACTCCGCGCAGCACACCTCGATGAAGGAGCGGCCGTCGTTCGACTCCTCCTCCAAATCCGCCATCGAGTAGAGGACTGTCTCCTTGTAGACGGGCGTCAGGATGGACCACGACTGCATCTCCGCCACCGGAGGCGCCTCCGGTGCATCCATCTTGAGCGAGCGCAGCCAGTGGCGCAGCCGGCGCATCGCCTCGTTGGAGCGGAGCGGCCTCGGCGTCGGCGACAGCGAAAGCATGCGCCGCAGCCGGACCGCGATCGCCTCAAGGTTGGGCTCGTGCCGGAGCAGGCTGGCGAGCGACGCACTCGCGTAGCTGCTGTCCGCCCAAAAGCCAAGGGTCGGGTGGGCGAGGGTGGCCTGCAGCGCGTTGGCGGCGGCGCCGAGCGCGCCGCGCACCTCGTCCTGCGCGGCGGAACGGCTGGGGCGCGCGGCCGCCGCTGCGAGGCAGGCGTGCTGGAGGCACGCCAGCAGCGAGGCGAGCGCCTGCTGGATCGTACTTTGTTAGTAGCTGATTATTAGCTTATTAGTAGTCTTTTAGAGGCGAGCGCCTGCTGGATCGCTGGCAGCGCCGCAGAGCGCACGGCGGCGCCCTCGGCCGAGGCGATGTCTGCGATGCGCACGCGCGTCACGCCTCTGCGGCGGCGCGCGAGCGAGAGGGCTGCGGTGAGGTCGTTGAGGCTGGCGGTGAGGTCGAGCCGCGAGAGGTCGCGCGAGAGCCCCTTGAGCGAGACGACGCGCGACAAGCTCGAGAGCGAATCGCCAAAGGAGCGCGAGCGCAGCGCGTGCCGCAAGCCGACGCCCGAGCCGGCCGAGGCGCCGCCGCCGCCGCCGCCGTCGCCCATCTGCGGCCGCTCCGTCGTTCGCAGTCCACCCCCACCGTTCTGTCCCGACTCGAGCGGGCCGTCCGTTGGCGCCTGCGCGGCGTTGCTGCCCTCTAGCCCGCCGGCGCCGCCCGCCGGTCTAGCGGCGAGCCCGTTGTCGTGCGGGTGCGATGCGGCCGACGCCAGGCACGCTACGCTCGCCGACCGCTTGGCGAGACGGCCGTTAGGCGCCGCGTCGCCTCGAGACAGTTACTGAGTGGTTAGTAGTAGTTGAGTACAGTTAATCAGCCGTTAGGCGCCGCGACGCCTCGGGCGGCGTTAGGGTTAGGGTTAGGGTTAGGGTATGGGTCAGGGTTAGGGTTAGGGTCAGGGTTAGGGTTAGGGTTAGGGTTAGGGTTAGGGTTAGGGTTAGGGTTAGGGTTAGGGTTAGCGACGCCTCGGGCGGCGCGGCCATCAAAGGCGACGATCATGGCGAAGATGGCCTCGCACAGCTCGACGAGCGCCTGAGACAGTTCTATGAGTGGTCTATCAGTGCTCATTCGCAGGAACGAATTCGCTCGACGAGCGCCTACAGACAGGTCCCGAGAGGCTCCGAGGCGGCTCGTGGAGGGAGGAGGCCTCGCACCGCTGTAGCGCCTTGCGCAGCCCGTAGAGCACCCGCTCCGAGCGGAGGCCGGGCGGCAGCGCGCCGCAAGGGCGGGACTGGCCGGCCGAGCCGGCGGCAGACGCATCGGTGGCTGGCGCGATCGGGGGCACGACAGCGGCGAGGGCTCGGAGGGCGAGCGCCACGTCGGGCTGGTGCGCGGCGCCGAGCAGCGGCCAGACAACTGCCATCGCGATGTCGGCCGCACCCGCCAGCGAGAGGCGGCAGAGCGTCGGGAGCGACTCGACGGGGCAGCCCGCGAGGAGCGCACTGAGCGCGCGCTTGAGAGACCCGAGCGGCGGCGGGAGAAGCAGCGGCAATGCCGTGCCGTCGGGCGCAGCCTCGGCGCGCGGCAGGGGCGGCAGACTGCCCGGCACCGGCGGCCGCTCTTGCCACGCCCTGGCGGCGGCGCTGACCGCAGCGGGCGGCGGCGGGTGGACGGCGCGCGGCACGATCGCAAACTGCAGCCGGGTCTCCTCGGAGTTGTCGACCAAATCCTGCCGCCGCATCTCGTGGAGCATCGTGTTCCAACACTGCGCAAAGCCCCAGCCGCCCCGCGCAGGCAGCCGACCGAGCAGCCTACGCCTCACAGGAGCCGGGCCGTGAGGAGATGTCCCACCACGGGAGGGGCGCCCGGACTGGGCGGCCGGCCGTAGCCCCGACAAGTCCGCGGGCGCGTCCTCGTCTGGCGGAAGGGCGCCGTCTCGCGACCCATTGGCGACTGCTGGGAGCGAGACCGAGCGCCCCCCCGCCGACACGGCCCACGCCCCCCCCTTGGCGAGCTCGCCCAGCAACTGCTCCTCCGCAGCCTCTTCCTCCGCCTCCTCCTCCGCAAGCTCTTTCTCCGCCTCCTCCTCCGCCGCCGCCGCCATCATCGTCTCCTCCGCCTCGTCAGCCTCCTCGGCAATCACATTTGGCGAGCCACGGCCACCCTCCCCGCGCGCAGTCGGTGCAAAGGACGGGCTCGCCCGCAACCCTCGCTGGGCAGGGACCGGGCTGGGGGGCAGCCGGGCCGGACGGCTGGCGAGCCAGCGTTGCTCGAAGCGGTCGGCCGCCGGGTCAAAGTGGGCGGCGAGCAGCTGCGGCAGGCCTAGCAGGTTCCAAGAAGGGTCCTAGAAGGTTCTGTCCACGGTCGGCGGCGAGCAGCTGCGGCAGGCCGAGCTCGGGTGCGATGCGGAGGGAGCCGAGCCCGCGACAGAGCCCGACGACGAGCACCCAGAGTGTGAAGGTGAGCGAGAAGCTCACGAGGAAGAAGAGGATGACCGGCACCTAGAAGGTTCCAAGAAGGTTCCTAGAAGGTTCCTCCCGGTGGAAGAAGAGGATGACCGGCACCCAGATGCAGAGGAGCAGCACAAACAGCTGGCCGAGGCCGATGCCGGAGCTGCCGGTGAGCGAGCGCCCAAAGTACGAGTAGAGCAGGCCTAGGAACCTTCTAGGAACCTTCTTGGAACCTTCTAGGTGCTCGCCCAAAGTAGGAGTAGAGCAGGCCGAGCGTGTCGACGACGAGCGCGTCCGCGATGTAGTGCTGCACCAGCAGGCAGTGCACGCTGAACAGCGTCAGCCAGAAAGCGAGCGCGCTCCAGCTCGTCGGCCGGACGTGCCTATGGTTAGTAGCAGCCACTCATCAGTCCATTGATTGAGTGCTTCACCAGCTCGTCGGCCGGACGTGCCTCGCGGGGAGCGGCCCGTTGGCAACCTCGATGCCAAACAGCGAGCAGTTAGAGTTAGCAGGCAATTCGCAGGCAATTCGCAGGGAATTAACGATGTCAAACAGCGAGAGCAGTGCAATCGCAGTGCATTCACCTCGATGCCAAACAGCGAGAGCAGCCGCTCGCGCCCCAGACTGGGCTGACCACTGCTTCCGCCGCCGCCGCCGCCGCCGCCCGGCCGCACCACGAGGAAGCGCAGGCTGGACAGGGTCGGCCGCACGAAGACGGCGATCGAGAGCAGCAGCGCCATCGCCCAGTGGTGCAGGTGCTGGTCGCGGAGCGAGAACCAGAGCGCCACGTTGAGCGCGAGAGAGAGGAGCAGGTCGAGCGCGACGCGCAGCACCGCGTCGAGCTTGGCAGGCGGGTCGCAGGTGGGGAAGCGCGCCCACAGCTGCAGCAAGCCCGAGAGGACGCGGTACGCCTGCACGTCCACCACGAGGGTCGCCTCGAACTGCAACACGCGCAGCGCGGCGTCCGACTCCTCGCCCGCCTAGAAGGTTCCAAGAAGGTTCCTAGAAGGTTCCTGGTGCCAGCACGGCGTCCGACTCCTCGCCCGCCTCGCAGGGCACGCCGAACTCGGCGGCGATGCAGGTGTTGAGGCCGAGCGTCGCGCCGAGCATCAGCCGCAGCATGATCCAGTGCGCAAAGTAGACGTGCTCGAACGCACCGAGCATGTGAAGCCAGGAGCGGCGCTCGCGGTACTCCTTTGCCAGCCCGCGGAGCTGCGCGGCGGCACTGCCGGCGCCGCTCCCCTCGAGGCTCCACCCGAGGCAGTCGGGTCGCCAGAAGGCCTCGTTGACGTCGTCGTAGTTGAGTGGGTGCGCTCGCTCGCAGAAGAGGTGGACGAGCGACGCGTAGAGCGGCGCCACGCTCGCCAGCGCGAAGGGGCGCGGCAGCGGTTTCGCCAAGTCGGAGAGCTGGTGGAAGAGCCACCAGACGGCCTCTGATGCGTGGCGCAAGTTTGCCGCCTCGGCCCAAACGAGCAAGTAGAGCAGGCACTCTGCCCGGCGAGCCTCCGCCTCGGCGAGCCCGCCCTCGCCCGCCTCCTCGCCGCCCGCCTCGGCCGCCCCGCCCGCAGCGCCCGGCCCGTGCCTCGCCCGCGCTGCTGCGGGAGAGCAGCGCGGCTCGGCGCGCACGTGCTCGCACCAGGTGAAGTACGACGCAAAGAGGTGCGCATGGAGCGAGTCGGCGGCGCGCGCCGCACGCTCGGGGGCGGAGAAGGGTAAGCGCGCCGCTCTCGCGGCGAGCAGCCGGAGCAAGTGCTCGAGCTGGTTGCACACCACCGGGCGCTGGAAGCCGAAGTCGGCCTCAAACGCGGCGGCGACGGCGCAGAGCTGCTTCACCACGGGACTGCCGAGCGCCCCGCTCGCATCCACCGCGGTGCACTGCTGCAGCGGCGGCAGCCACCGCCTCTCCTCCGGCGGCGAGCCGTCCCCCCACCAAGGGGCCGTAGGGTCCCCCCACCAAGGGGCCGTAGGGTCCCCCCACCAAGGGGCCGGCCGGGCGGTGAAGGCTTCGGCGGAGACGACCCGGCGGAGGCCAGCCGAGCTTGCGGCGGAGACGAGCGGGGAGCGGCGCGCCTCCCCCGCTGGCGGCTGGCTGCGAGGAGCCGGCGCGAGGAGGTGGCCGCCACCGGACAGGCTGCCCTTCGTGGCCGCCTCTGCCCGTGCCGGCGGGCGGTGGCTAGCCACCAGCGCTCGACCGACGGCTGCGCCTGGCAGACGTCGACCGCGACGCGCCTCCGCTGCAGACGGGCTGGCGGCGGGGTCCTCCTCGTCGTCGACGTCATCCGCCAGCTCCTGCCAGAGCTGACCGCTCGCCCGCCACACCAGAGACCACAGCCCCGCCTCGGACCTTGGCCTGCAGCACACGCACACCGAGGCCGCGGCAGAGCGGGTCCAGCTGCCTAGTAGTAATTCAACATTAATTAACAGTTAATTAACAGTTGACTTAGAAGGGGAGCGGGTCCAGCTGCCCCGGCGCAGGCAGCGGGCGTGGCGCAGCAAGGCGACGCTGGTAAGGGCGACCACCACCGGCGCAGCCCACGGCGAGGAGCTCCTGCCGAGGTCGCCCTGCACGCCGGACCCCGCGAGCCCTTCGACGGCGTGCCGCACGTCGAGCATCGCCTAGACCCCTCTCGGAAGGTTCCTAGAAGGTTCCTAGAAGGTTCCTAGTGCCGCACGTCCAGCATCGCCTCGCCGCCCGCCAAGCTTGCGGCGCCGAGCCAAAGCAGCTGCGCGCCGCACAACGCCGTCGCGGCCTCGAGGAACGCCTTGCGGACGTGAATGGCAGCCAAGCCCGAGACGAGCGCGACAAAGAGGAAGAGGGGGAAGAGGAGCAGGGAGAGCTCTTCGCCCGCCGACCAGCCGCGCGGATGCGGAAGCGGCGGCCCGACCGGCGGCAGCGGAACGGCGGCGGACAGAGAGCCGACCCGACCGCCGCCCTCGTCCTGCCCGCCCTCCCTGGCGGCAAGCGCGCCCAAGAGAGCCACGAGCAGGCGGGGCAGCGCTCTCGCCTAGAAGGTTCCTAGAAGGTTCCTAGAAGGTTCCTAGAGCAGGCGGGGCAGCGCTCTCGCCTGCTGCCCGACGGAGCCAGAGTCAAGGCGGCCAGAGTCAAGGCGGTGCGGTGCGAGGCGGTGCGAGGCAGTGCGGTGCGAGGCAGTGCGGTGCGAGGTGGTGCGAGGTGGTGCGAGGCGGTGCGGTCCGGTGCGGTGCGGTGCGAGGCGGTGCGGTGCGTGCGGCTCGCCTGCAGCGCGAGGAGCGAGACGGAGAAGGCGGTCGCCAGGCAGAGAGTGAGCTCCGAGAGGATGGTCAGCAGCAAGCCGCCCACCACCGCCGCCTCGACGACGCAAGCGAGGTAGACGAGGCGATCGGCAAAGAGCCTGCGGCCACGGCCAGGCTGCCTCGCGCCGTGGAACCTTCTAGGCACCTTCTAGGCACCTTCTAGGCACCTTCTAGGCACCTCCTGCCTCGCGCCGCGGAACCTTCTATGCACCTTCTAGGCACCTTCTAGGCACCTCCTGCCTCGCGCCGCGGAACCGTCGCCGCCCCACCCGATCGGAGAGTCGCGCGACAAGACCCCTCTCGGACCCCTCTCGGACCCCTCTCGGACCCCTCTCGGACCCCTCTCGGACCCCTCTCGGACCCCTCTCGGACCCCTCTCGGACCCCTCTCGGACCCCTCTCGGACCCCTCTCGGACCCCTCTCGGACCCCTCTCGGACCCCTCTCGGACCCCTCTCGGACCCCTCTCGGACCCCTCTCGGACCCCTCTCGGACCCCTCTCGGACCCCTCTCGGACCCCTCTCGGACCCCTCTCGGACCCCTCTCGGACCCCTCTCGGACCCCTCTCGGACCCCTCTCGGACCCCTCTCGGACCCCTCTCGGACCCCTCTCGGACCCCTCTCGGACCCCTCTCGGACCCCTCTCGGACCCCTCTCGGACCCCTCTCGGCTACGCGTCGGGCATGTCTCGGCTCCCTCTCGGCGAGCCGCACCGCGCGAGCGACGCCGCCCGAGCCCGCTCCGCCGACAAGTTCCAGACGTGGCTGCGCAGCGACACGCCTAGAAAGCTCCAAGAAGGGTCCTAGATGGTTCCAGACAAGCTCCAGACGTGGCTGCGCAGCGGCACGCCGGCCGACAGCGTGAGCGAGCTGGTGGCGCTGTCGCCGCCCGCGGTTTGCGGCCCGAGCCACGCGTCGTCGGGAGAGACGCCGAGGTAGCGGGCGAGGCCGGCGGAGGCGAGCGCGGCGCAGAAGAAGGCGCCGAACAGCAGTGCGAGCGCGAGGCGGACGTGCTCCTCACTCAGCAGCAGCGCGAGGGCGCCGAGTGCGGCGACGCAGCCCGAGAGAAGGACGGAGGCGCGGAGCAGGTTGTCGACCGAGGGGGGCGCCTGCTTGCCGTTTGCCCACCAGTGCTGCGCGATCCAGCCCGCCGTCGGGTGGTCGGGGGGCGAGCACGAGGTGCGCTGCCGCCCGCTGGCGCGCTGGTAGAAGCGGACGTGGCCGATGCGGAAGACTGTCGGGAAGATGGCCTGGTCGATCCTGCCCGAGAAGACGCGCGAGACGGCGGCCGAGATGATGAGGTACATAGGCTCCTGTGACGGGGTACAGCGGAGAGGCGATGAGAGACGATGAGAGACGATGAGAGACGATGAGAGACGATGGGGGGCATCGGCTCCTCCGGCACGAGCCGCTGGCCGACGTGCCCGCCGCCGGGGACGCGGCGCGGGCGGAGCGACTCGCCGGTCGCCTCGAAGACGAGCGATCCTGCGGGCAGGGGAGAGGGCGGCTTGGGCGGCGGCACGGGGCGGCGAGGGCGCGCGTGCGACGAGGGCGGCGGCGGGCGGGGCCGGGTCGGGAGTGTGCGTGGCTGGGGAGTGCGGGACTGCGTGGCCGGGCTCGTGCCTTCTAACCTTCTAGGAACCGTCCAGGAACCGTCCAGGAACCGTCCAGGAACCGTCTAGGAACCTTCTGGGAACCTTCTGGGAACCTTCTGGGAAACTTCTAGGACGCGTGGGCGTGGGCGGGCTCGTGCTGGGCTGCGCGCGCCGTCGAGGAACCATCGCATGAAGCCGTCCGCGCCCGGCTCGTACTCGAACCGAAAGTGCGAAAGGCCGCGGTCGGTCCTCGGGAGGGCGTCGGCGGGCGGCGCGCCGAAGAAGCCCGCCTACGCCCGCCGGCACGCCGGGTGACGTCTCGAGAGACGCCGAGGCGGCGGGGGGAGAGAGCGGCGCTCGCGTCGAAGAGCGAGCTGCCGAAGCCGCCGTAGCTTCCGGCCGCCTCCGCCGCCGCGGCCGCGCCGGAGTAGGCTCCGGCGCCGGAGTGCGGTGCGCGGGGCGGGGTGTGGTAGGAGGGAGAGAGCGGGAAGTAGGCGCCGAGCGAGTCGAAGTGGTCCCCTCCGTACCAGAGGGCGTCGATCTCGGAGCGGCGGCCGAAAGTCAGGTTGGGGTACCAAGGCCGGCGCGCCGACGGGAAGGAGCCGTGGTTCGGACGGAGCCGGCCCGGCAGGCGTGGCGCAACCTGTCGCCACAGAGGTTGGGCGTGAGACCCGGGGGGGCGGCGGCGCCTGGGCGGCGGCGTGGCGCGGGGCTCTTCTGGCTGCTGCTGCGGGGCTCTGGCTGCGATGCCCGAGGCTGCGCCTGGAAGGTTGTGATGCCGCACGTGAGGTTGTTGTGCGCCACCGCGAGCGCGGGCCTGTCGCTGGCGGCGGCGATGTCGGCGCACGGGCGCGCCTCGAGCAAGTCCACCTCCGGCACGCCTATGTGACATGTCTCGGACATATCGCGGACATGTCCTGCGACATGTCCTCGAGCAGCTCCACCTCCGGCACGCCTCGCCCCTGGTACGGCCGCAGCCCCGAGCCGCGCGCTGGCTGGTCCGAGCAGGCCGACAGCACCTAGAACGTTCCTAGAAGGCTCCTAGAAGGCTCCTGTGTTACGGTCCGAGCAGGCCGACAGCACCGTCCCGCGGGGGAGGAGAGTCCCGCGGGGGGGCAGAGGCGAGCAGTGGCGGGCAGTGGCGGGCACGGGGTAGCGGTGTGTGCTGTGGCGAGTCGGCTCGTGTGTCTGTTGTGGTGGAGGGTGCCGAGCTGATGGGAAGGTTCCAGGAAGGTTCCAGGAGGGCGCCGAGGCTATGGCGCCGAGCCCTAGCGTGCCGCCTGGCCTCCGAGAGACCGGTCGCACGCGCCGAAGGAGAAGGGCCAGAGGCCATCGTTCGAGAGCGGGTAGGTGGCCCGCCCGAGGTTGCCGAGCATCCAGATGGCGGGCCTGTGACAAGATGGCGGGCCTGGCGTGGCGTAGACAGAAGCAGAGTGAGTGAGCATCGAGATGGCGGTGCGTGGCGTGGCAGCGCCTCCGGTGAGCTGGCGGCAGGAGCAGAGTGCCAGGCGGTGGAGGGCGGCGGAGGGGTGCGCGCCAGACGCCAGGCGCGCCCGGCTCGCCGGGCAGGGAGAAGGAGACGTCGACGATGCCGCCCTGCAAGCAAGCCTTCTCCCACGACTGCACGGAGCCGGAGGCGTACCGCGAGGCGCGGAAGCCCGTGTTTGTGGTGTAGATCTCGAGCGCGCCCGCGTGAGTGCTCACCATCTGCGGCGTCATGTATGCCAGGTTGCCGTTCGTCGGGTCGTGCCTTGCGACGGCCGTCCAGATCGGGTCGCGGTCCACCTGAGACGGCGAGCGAGACAGCTGACGGGACGAGCTGGTGGAAGCGAGGGCGCTCAGACGCTCGAGACCTCGCTGAAGCGGCGGCCCTCGGTCTCAAACTCGTCCGACATGACCAGCCGGTAGCTCTCGCCATCGCCAAGGCCGACCGTCTCGAGCTCTTCCAGCGGTGTGTCGACGTCTATGAGTGACCCATCCCACGCGTTGCTGCTGGTCGCGTTGCTGCTGCTGTCGCTCTCTGGCCAGCCGAACAGCCAGCTTTGCAGCTGGCGGGGGCCTCCAGAAAATGCATGAGCCGAGAGAGAGAGAGATAAACAAGCGAACATGCCCGAGCTCGCCGCTGTCTGGTATAGCCCCAGCCTACTCCGCTGTCAACCTCGCGGGGGCTCGGTCTTGCGGAGGGCTGCTCGCTGCCTTGGGGTTCGGTTCACACACCTGTGGTAGCGGCTGCAATGGCTGGAGCTCGCTGTACCCTGGGTTGAGTACGCGGAGGCTGAGAAAGAGGAATAAAGAAATTTCTCGCACACTTCGAACAAAACGCGGTCGCACGACACGATTCACAAGACAGCAAGCAGCTCACGAGCCACGACCATGGTCGGAGCCGAGGCAAAGACTCTCACCGAGACTCCGGCCTACTCCGTCTCGCGCGCGATGGCGAAGCCCAAGACGCAGTGGCCAAAGTCGAGCGCCGCGATGCCGTTCGTGGCTCCGGCCGAGTCGAGGTGGTACCGCTCGTGGATCTCGTAGAGCGAGAGGACGAGGAGCGCCGCCCGCGCGCGGGCCGCCGCGGGGAAGAGCGAGTGGCTTGCCGGCGACCACGGCGCCGCCGCCCGCCGGATCAGCGCCGCCGCCTCGCCCTCGCCGCCCGCGGCGCGCCGCAGCGGCGTCGGCTCGCCCTCGTGCAGGCTTGCACCGCTGCGCAGGAGGGCGGTGGCGCGGGCGGCGGTGAGGGTCTCAAGGTGCGCGAGCGGCGTCCAGCCGCGGCTGGCGACCAGCCAGGCGGCGAGGTCGGCGTGGCCTTCACGGTTTGCGGCCTCCTCGGGCGTGCCGAAGGGCGTAGCGGCGCGGGAGGCGCCGTAGGAGGATAGGAGCTTGGCGACCTCGAGGTGGCCGTTGAAGCATGCCATGATCAGCGGCGTGGCGCCGTCCTGCCTGGCTTGGTCGATCGCCGCGCCAGCCTCGAGAAGCAACCGAACGCACTCGAGCTGGCCCTGCTGGCACGCCATGAACAGCGGCGTGGCGCCGTTGTTGCGGGCTTGGTCGATCGCCGCGCCAGCCTCGAGGAGCAGCCGGGCGGTCTCGGGGTGGTTGTTCTGGCACGCGACGTACAGCGGCGTGACGCCGTTCTCATGGGCTTGGTCGATCGCCGCGCCAGCCTCGAGGAGCAGCCGAACGCACCCGAGGTGGCCCTGCTGGCACGCGATGTACAGCGGCGTGGCGCCGTCACCCATGGCTTGGTTGACCGCCGCGCCAGCCTCGAGGAGCAGCCAGGCGGTCTCGAGGTGGCCCTGCTGGCACGCGATGGACAGCGGCGTGACGCCGCCGTTCATCGCTTGGTTGACCGCTGCGCCAGCCTCGAGCAGCAGCCGGGCGATCTCGAGGTGGTTGTTCTGGCTCGCCATGAACAGCGGCGTGGCGCCGTTCGCCGCGGCTTGGCTGACCGCCGCGCCAGCCTTGAGGAGCAGCCGGGCGATCTCGAGGTGGCCCTTCTGGCACGCGATGTTCAGCGGCGTGGCGCCGTTCTGCTTGGCTTGGTTGACCGCCGCGCCAGCCTCGAGGAGCAGCCGGGCGCACTCGAGGTGGCCCTGCTGGCTCGCCATGAGCAGCGGCGTGGCGCCGCACTGCTTGGCTTGGTTGATGCCAGCGCCAGCGTCGCGCAGCAGCCGGGCGATCTCGACGTGGCCCTTCTCGCTCGCGATGAACAGCGGCGTGCGGCCTCCAGCGTCTGCTTGGTCGGTCGCCGCGCCAGCCTCGACGAGCAGCCGGGCGCACTCAATCTGCCCCTCTTGGCACGTGATATACAGCGCGGAAGCGCCGCCGCCAGTCGTCGCCCCGACGCTCGCGCCGCCCTCGAGCAGCAGCCGCGCCCCCTCGGCCTGCCCGTGCCGAGCGGCCCAGGTGAGCAGCGTGTCCTGCCTCTCGGTGTCGAGCCGCGCGTCGAGCTGGGCCGCGAGCGACGTGCCGCGCGTCCGCCGCCCGGAGAGGAAGGCGCGCAGCGAGGCCAGGTCGCCCCGAGCCAGGTCGGCGAGGCGGGTTGGGAGGATGGCGCCGCTCATGCCGCCAGGAAGAAGAAAACCGTTTGCGTCCAAGGAGAAAGAGGAGAGTTCATTCGCGGCGCCCCGCGGCGGAATAAAGAATTTCACCTACGTGGGCGTCCATCCCTCGTTTGGTTTGTCTGTTTAGCTCCCTCGCACGAACGACACTGGGCACGGGACTGGCTGGGTTCCATCCAAACTGGGAGCATGCTCTGGCGCAGGCACTAACACAGGTACACAACGGGAGCCGCCTGGCGACTCCTGCGAGGACGGCGAGGCACTTAGCTCCGTGCACTCGACCGCCCTCGCCGCAGGCAAGCTCATTCACAATCTGCTCTGCGATTGCCGTGTGTATGAAGAACGACCGAGATACGCTGCTTCTGCAGCCCCAGCCAATTCTTGGTGGTCCAAGTCACCTCATCGAGGTATTGGGCCCGCGTCAGCTTGTTCTGTAGCACGTCCGCCGCCTTCCGGAGGATCTCACGGACCCCCCTCCCGAACCCGCCGAACGATTCGAACAGCAGCAGCTGCACGTCAACGTCCTTGTCTTCCCTGGGCCCTGGCGTAGCGATAGTCCCCGCTGACCTGTAGGACGGTATGCGGCGGTCGCCGCCCACCACCCTGCCCCCCCTGGTATGCCAGCGCCCGGTCCCTTGCCCTCTCTCGCCCTTGCTCTTCCTCTCCCCCTCCATGCCGCCCCCCCGTACCCCCCCTCCTCCTCCCGAGAGGAATAAAGAAAATACGTGACCGCGTGAGCCCTGAAACTATATTCTTGAGTTATAAGCTTCACAGCCACAGCAATACCGGTGCCATAAAGTTAGTTCTCGCCTGACACTCGTTCGTCAGCATCCGATTCAGGCGCGAAGCCAGGCGCGGTGCACCTGTACCTGTACCTGCTCTCACACCCACAGCCTGTTCTCCGGATCTCCCTCTCCCGACCTGCGTCCTCAAGGACAAGGTAAGGTAAGGGGTAAAGACTTGTCTTCTCCACAAGGTTGTTGGGGCAAAGGAGGGGCGACCGTCCCTCGCAACTCTGTCGCAACTCCACGTCTAGACGACAGGAGCCCAACGGCATTGAAAAGTGCAAGGCCCAGAGACAGTGCGCGTGTGTGAGAGTGAGGTGTGTGTGTGGGTGTGTGTGTTGTGTGTGTGTTTTGTGTGTGTGTGTGTGTGTGTGTGTGTGTGTGACTGCGACAACTTTACCGCTGTCCAAGGGTACAAACAAGGGTACCAGGATTGCAAGACCAACGCGGAGAGCCCCTTTCTATTCGTGTGCAGGGGGGGTACCAAGAGAGAGACGGACTAGATTACCCTTCAACTCATGAGTGACGATCCTCCGCTCTGACCGCTCGAGCTGTAGCATGCGCGCACGCGCAGGAGTTCGCGCCTCTGCAGCCACTGCGGCTGCCACAGTAGGCAGACCTGCAGCAAGTCCTGCAGCAAAGCATCACGAGCGAGAGGGCATTGCCGGGCCCGCCCACTGGTTCAAAGTTTGTGGAGAGTCAGCCCAAGTCGAAGCCTCCGCTCCAAATCGGGTTGTCTGTGTTCACCTCGCTGGTTTCGTGGCCGCTGCCCCCCCCGCCGAGCCAGCCTGGCGGACAGGGAGGCGGGAGAGTGAAAGCATCGTGCGTGGGGGTGTCTATCTAAGCATGTTGCGCGCCAAGGCCAAGCGTGTCGAGCAGATTCTGCTTGAACGCCGCGGTGTCAAAATTGATGCCAAACTGTACGTCTCCCTCTGGGGCCTCTTCTGGCGCGTCGTCGGTGAACAGCCAGAGCTTTGTCGGCGGCGCAGTCGCTGGTCTCAAGTTTTGAGGCGCGGTGGTGCTGTCGCCAGAGATTGCGACCCAGAGCAGCAGCGTAAGGCTGGAAACAGTAACAAGCAATGACGCATGATGGCAAAGCCGAGGTGCTGGCGCATCGGCAGCGATCATAAGTTGCGCGCGGCACGCAGTGCAGACGTATTGCAATGTCGCCCAGAGAGGGGTAAGACTGGACGTGCGCACGCAATGCTTTTTTTTATGAAACGCTGGGACGACGCCAGGCTACAAGACGGGGAGCACGCAGGGGAGTCTAGGCGACGGTGGCGTCCTCCGACGCTATGGGGGTTGTGTGCGGGTCCTGTGTCTGGGAGGGAGGGAGTGGGTGCATGCAGGTAGGTTGCTCACCCACGCACGGCACCGGGCCGGTGCTCTTGCACTTTGAATGCCGTGGGGCTCCTGCCCGTGTCCGGGTGTGGAGATGCGAGGGTCGCCCCCCTTGCCCCACCACTTTGTGTGTGTGGAGACGTTCACCTTACCTTACCTTACCTTAGGTTCACAGGATAGCACTTGCTCAAGGAGCAACCTCCCATTGGACGACAGTGAGTGAGGGTGAGGGACAGACCCAGGGAAGGTTTCACACTCAGACCTTGATATTGAGAAGAAATATACCTTCTTCACAGCAAGCACAAGCAAGGGGCGCAGCAACGAACAAGCTCTCCAAGCGGCAGCACGAGGACGAGAGGGGAGCTGGTCGACGCGCGCACGCGGTCGTGGCTGTCGCTGCAGGCCCAGCCATGTGTCAGTCGCGCTGCCTGCCTGCAGGTGCAGCTCGCGGCGGCGGATGAGATCGCGACCGGTGACCGGCGCTTGCGCACCAGCCCCGTCCGCCGCCGGTTCCGCGGCCGCGGTCCCTTTCATAGCTACGCGCGCCATGGATTCCACGGCCTTCACACGCTCGTTCTGTGAACCTGGCGGAGCGCCGAATAGTTTTTAGTGTTTACAGATTACACTTTTCTCTAAAATTCTCTATACTTAGAGGGAGGAAAAATCCCCCCCCTCGAGGAAAAAATCATCCACCTTCGGGAGGTAATCGCAACATTGAAAAATCCCGTGCCAGTGTTTCTCCGTACATATCAAAATATTCAGATCCTTGAACGGACACGACGCTCGGACGCGGCACGTTCTAGTCTCTAAACCCAAAACCCAGGTTACTGATCATGCGGTGAAGTAGTTATGATCAGCCTCGCTCTCGCTCCAACTTGGCCAAACGGGTTGCCAGCGCCGCGGTCGTGTCCTTGGCCTGCGCCGCCGACTTTTTGGCCGCCGCCTGGGCCGCCGCCTGGCCCGCCTCCAGCGCCGCGATCTTCTTCTGCAGCCCGGCGATGGTGCTCGCCGCCGCACTGGCCGACGTTGCGGCGGTCGTCTCGGCCGCCGCCCTCATCTCGGTCATGGCCTGCCGCAGCTCGCTCAGCTCTTGGTCCTGCTGCAGCAGCCTCGCCATGGCGAGCTGCAGGTGCGCGTCCCTCGCCTCCTCTAGATGCGAGGCGACCTCGCCCTGCACCAGCCCCGGCGCGAGGCAGCCGAGCGCTCGGAAAGGGCACTCGGCGGGCCGCATCGCACAGGGGCCTGCGACGTGCGCCTCCATGTCGCGCCGCGGCAGGCTCTCCTTGCAGCCGAGCGCACACCGCACCACCTTGAACTCGCAGCTGCCGTCGTGCGCCGCCTCGTACCGCGCGCTGAAGAGGGCAGTGCAGCCAGCGTGCGAGCAGCCGACCGGCCGGAAGACGCAGCTCGTCAGGTGGCGCTGCGACGGAGGGCAGAGGCGACGCGGTCAGAGGGGCCGCCGCGTCTCTCGCACGCGGCTCTCTCCCGCCGCCGCACCTCGCGCTCCGTCGAGCCGAGCTGCTCCATGTCACAGCCGCAGTGCCACTCCCGAGTCGTGTCGTACCGCTGCACCAGCTGCAGCGCGAGGCGCTGGCGGCCTCCGTGCCGGTACTCGCCTCGTACCTCGAGTTCGCGCGCCTTGCCCGCGACCTTGTCCGCCGCGTTCGAGACGAAGCGCCCTCCGAACGAGCGCCGCGCCTCGAGCTTCTCCAGGCGGGCGTGGAGCACCGCGAGGCCGCGCGGGCCCTTCTTGGCCGAGGAGAGCTTCTCCGAGAGCAGCCCACGAACCTCGGCCATTGCGTCGCTGGGCTGCAGGCCACCTTGCACGACCCGTGTCGCCATAGTGTTGAGCAGCCGCGCGCTGAGCAGCTCAAGGGTCTCGACGTCGGCAAACTCGCACAGCGCCGGGGCAGAGGCCGGCTCGCTGTCGCAACCTCCCTCGTCGGCGGGGCCCACAGTGCTGTCACTGTCGTCGCCGCCGCAGCTGCCAGCTGGATCAGACGCGTTCGTTGAGACTGTGGCCTCGACAGCCGTTTCCCTTGCGTTCTCCGCCAAGGAGTCGGCCTTGTCGGCGGGGTCCACAGTGCTGTCACTGTCGTCGCGGCCGCTGCCGCCAGCTGGATCGGTGTTCGTCGAGACTGTGGGCTCTGCAGCAGCAGCAGCTTGCTGCTGGTTTGCTCTCATGCTTCCGGTGTGAATCTCAGACGGTACCTTTCTGTCCTCCAGAGTCGAAGAACTCGACCGTTGGCTGGCCGCCAAAGTGGCTGGACGGCGCCGCGGCGCACACTGGTGAGCCGCGGAGCACACTGAGGGAGCTGTCCTCGGCGCAGCCGATCGGCTCCCGCGGCCTGGGTGATGGCAGTGGCGGCACTCTCTGAGGCTCCCTGATTTTTTCTGGTATTTGTTGAGCAGTCTCTGGTCACCTTCGCCGGGCGAGCCTGGCTCTCGCTGCACAGCGGCGCGACCCGCGGTGAGGCTGCCGATCGTCGAACTGGGCTTAGCTCTCAGTCAAGATATTGTGCATATGGTCGGTCTCTACAATATCCTCTGGGCCGGCGCGGGGGCCCCAGAGGGTGTCCATGCGGGGGGGAGATGGGGTCCCATGGCCCGCCGCAGGCGCCGATTTTTCGGAGTTTTTTTCTTTTTTTTCGCGATTTTTTACTTGTTTTCACGGGAATTCGATCGGCACCTGTTGCCACGTTGCGACCGATTGACTATCCGCGTTTTGTGCGAGCGACTTTCGAGTCCGCCGCTGCCTCTCCGGCGCGAAGCGCGAGCTGCGAGATGGGCGCGTCGAATCGAATTTCTCGGTCTTGCCAGACCTCGGCGACGGGCATGAGCGTTCCCCGGGTAACGCTAGAGCCGTAATAACGGCGGCCGGCGGGGCGGCCGCCGCGGGAGGTAAGGTAAGGTAAGGTAAACTTCTCCACACACACGAGGTGGTGGGGCAAGGGGGGGCAACCCTCGCGTCTCCACGTCTGACGACAGGAGCCCCACGGCATTCAAAGTGCAAGGCCCAGTGCGCGTGGGTGAGCGGTGTGTGTGTGTGTGTGGTTGCGCCAGCGGGACGCAGGGCGGACCGACACCCTCCCCACCCTGGACCCCCGGCATACCCGCCGGCAGAAAAGAGTTTTGCTGAGGATTCGCAACAAAATAGCCCTGTCTAACCCATGCGCGACCCTCGCGCTTGGTGACAGGTGGTAGGATTACGCTCATACGCTCAGAGGCCAGCTCAAACCACCTTGCCGCGCCCTCGCCCGGCCGCAAAGCCGCGCGTCCCATCGGGCCCCTTCGCGAACCGCGTCATCTTGGCCGGGTCGACCTGCCGCTGCTTCTCCCGAGGCGTCTCTTCGGCCGCTTTGGTCTGGCAGATGCGGCGAGCGACGAGCTGCTGCGACTGTGGCTCGGCACAGAGGCAGAACGACACCTCGTCCCCGACAGAGACGCGCACAGAGGCCGACTTGCGATCGGGGTCGACGAGCACGTCCGAGAGGGAGAAAGAAACCTGCTGTGGCGTGCCGCTATGCTTGGCCGCGAGCTCGGCCAGCGCCGACGTCGTGCCTTTGACGGTGGGAGCCGCGTTGGCGAACGGAGACTGCCCTGCAGAGATGTAGATTGCGCTCACCGCAGCGGCTGCAATGTCTTCTGGCGCGTCCGTCTCGGGCTCGGCTGTCGACGCCTCGTCCCCAGCGCCTCGCCCCCACGTCGCGCCCTTGCCAAGCAGCGACTGCAGCCCTCCTCCGTCGCTTCCCAACGGCGCCTCGCTGTCCGCGTTCGCAGTCCGTGCGGCGGCGGCAGCATCGACGGCAGCTTGGGGCAGCGCGTCCGTAGCGCGGATGCTGCCCTGGCCCCCTGAGACGGCCTTGACCACGCCGCGGATCGGCACCGGTGTCGAGTCGACCAGGACGAGCGCGCCGTCACGCCGGCGGCGGCAGAGCCGCGACGTGACGGTCGTGCCGAGAGCGGGCACGGCGCCACGCAGCGCCTGCTCCTGCCGCCGACGGTCGATCGGAAGCCTGAGTCGCTCGCCCTCGAACTTATCGAGCAGCAGCACCGAGATCTTCGCGGCGTCCTCTCCGTCTGCGTCGTCGCCGATCGTCTCGCGGCTGCAGTCGGCCTCGCCCCCCGCCTCGCCCCCCGCCTCGGCCCCCGCCTCGGCCCCCGCCTCGGCCCCCGCCTCGCCCCCCGCCCCGGCCCCCGCCTCGCCCCCCGCCTCGCCCCCCGCCTCGGCCCCCGCGACGACAGTCCCCTTCGCCTCCTCGAGGAGACAATCCTCAAAGGCGACGGTGCCCGGAGCGAGCGAACGCAGCCGGATGGCCACGCTGCGGCCCTTCCTCCGGCCGGCCGCGTCCTCGGCGGTCACGACGAACTCGAACTCTGCACCAGCTGCCAGCCGGTGCACCCCGTCGGGCAGCTGCGAGAAGTGGAAGAAGACGGGCGAGGCGCGCGCCTCCGCCTTGAGGAAGCCAAACTGCTCCTTCACGTTGACGACGACGCCGCGCTCCACCGCGCCGTCCGCGCACCGCTCGTACGTCGCCCGCGTGGGCCGCACGGAGCCGTCGCGCGCGCTGACCGCCAGCAGCAGCGAGACGATGTCGCCCGGCACCAGCTGCTCGCGCGACTTTGCGTCGGCTTGAGGCAGCGGCAGGACGGTGCCCGCCATGCCAGCCACGCTATCGACTCGCTCGAGCGCCGCGCGCGCCTCGGCCGAAGGGGTCGCCAGGCCCGCGCCGACTTCCTCGCCGGCGCGTGGCGAGAGCGGCGGGGCGAGCGCCTGGCCGAGCTCGAGGGGGATGGGCTTGTCCGAGTCGGACCTAAATTAATCAATCAATTAGTTAATTGTTGATGGGCTTGTCCGACTCGGACCGCTGCGCGGGCTCGTGCGACCCGCCGGCGGCACGCGCAAGCGGTGCGGCGGCAGCGCTAGCGGCAAGCGGCAGCGGCCCGAGGAGCTCGACCGAGCCGGCGCCGCAGCTCTGCGCCGCGCCGTCTCTGGCGCCGCCTCCGCGCCCGCGCGGCGCCGCGGGCGCGAGCCGGACGACGGCCTCCCACCAGCGCGGAGAGACCCACTCGAGGACGAGGGAGCCTGCAGGCAGCCGCCGGAGCTGAGCTGTGCGGGTAGTAATTAATTCATTGGCTGGGAGGAGGGAGCCTGCAGGCAGCCTCCGGAGCTGTGCGGCCGCCGGCCTGCCCGTCTTTGCGTCGCTCGCCCGCCGGTACTCCACCTCGTCGCGCAGTCATTCATGAATAAGTACTCAATTAATTCAGGGTGCCTCCTACCGCCGGTACTAGTGCTCCACACCTCGTCGCGCGGCCTCACCCCAGGCAGCGACGACGCGGCGAAGCTCAGCGGGGCGCCGCCCGCCTCGCCGCGCAGCAGGCCGTGCCCGTCGCGCAGCGAGAGCACGAAGCCGCGGTTCACCTTCTGCGCCTCGAGCCGCACGTCGGCAGCGCCCACCGCGCCCGTGGCGGCGTCGGTCGCCTCTCTGAAGCTCACCTCGTCACCCTCGTACAGGCCCGCCGCGCGCGACTCGCCGCAGACGTCGTCCAGCCCAAAGCTGAGCTTCCCCGCCCCTCCCTCGGCGGCGCCCTCCTCGGCCGCAGCATCCTCGGCCGCAGCCTCCTCGGCCGCGCCCTCCCCGCGCCCGGCCGCCCCGCCCTCGAGCCGGATCATCCCCCCGTGCGCCCCCTTCTCCGCGCGCGAGAGCAGCCGGTGCAGGCTCGCGCTGCCGGCGAGGCAGCGCGTCACCACGCCGCGCAGCCGAGCCTCTCCGAGCTGCTCGAGCGCGACGGAGCCGGCGGGCAGCCGGCGCAGCTTCGTCGCCGCGTCCTTGCGCGAGCGCGGGTCGAGCACGACGCAGAAGGACACGTCGTCCCCCACGCGGAGCGGGCCGCCCTCGCGCGGCGCCTACAGGGAAGTGTCCGCGAAGTGTCTAGGAAGTGTCGCCCCCCACGCGGCGCGGGCCGCCCTCGCGCGGCGCCTCGGACAGGTGGAAGAAGTGTCTAGGAAGTGTCTAGGAAGTGTCTAGAGAAGTGTCGCGCGGCGCCTCGGACAGGTGGAAGAAGAGGTCGGCAGCCTTGCCGGCCGTGCGGAGGAAGCCGAACTTGTCCTTGAGCGAGGCCACCCGCCCGCTCTGGCGCGGCAGCCCGCCGCCTGCCTCGATGAGCTTCACGCGCGACGCCGCGCGCTGGCGCGAGCCCGCCACGCTCATCAAGCGGCACTCGACCAGATCGCCGACGTGGAGAGCGCTGGGCCTCTCGCAGCCGCGGGCGTCAAAGGACACCACCTCTGTCTGCTCGTCATCGTCCTGGCCGCCATCCCCAGCAGCGGCGTCACCCTCGGCGGGAGGCCCGTCGCCCTTGAGGACGGCGAGACGGCCGCCGTAGCCGTCACCGCCACGAGCGCCGCGCAACTCTCTCTGCACGACGGCGCGGACGGTGACGGCCCTCGCGGGCGCAGGCAGCGTCCCGCGCGGCAAGATGGTCACCGCCTTGGCTGCCTCGCGCCCTGAGCGGCGGTCGAGCTCGACCGAGAAGGAGACCTCGTCGCCCTCGACTGGGACGTCACGGCCGACGAGAGCGCTGAAGTGGAAGAAGAGACCTCCGCCGCCCGTCCGCCGGTCGTTGAGGGGTCGGATGAAGCCAAACCCTTCCTTGATGCTGGTGACGTGGCCAGAGTCTGCGCCACCATCGTGAAAGGGGGGCCCCATGGACCGCCGCTGCAGGAGTGTTTTTTTCTTTATTTTCTCTTCTCTCCTCTCTCTCTCTCTCTCTCTCTCTCTCTCTCTCTCTCTCTCTCTCTCTCTCTCTCTCTCTCTCTCTCTCTCTCTCTCTCTCTCTTTCTCTCTCTCAAAAACTCCCTCTCTCTCGCACGCCTCTCTCTCTCTCTCTCTCTCTCTCTCTCTCTCTCTCTCTCTCTCTCTCTCTCTCTCTCTCTCTCTCTCTCTCTCTCTCTCTCTCTCTCTCAAAAACTCCCTCTCTCTCGCACGCCTCTCTCTCTCTCTCTCCCTTCTTCTCTCTCCCTCCCCCTCTCTCTCTCTCTCTCCCCCTCTCTCCCTTCTCTCCCGTTTTTCCAGAGCTTTATAAGCAATTGGTCCGATCGCGTACGTTTTGCAACAAGCCCTGCATGAGCACTCACCCGTTCGGGGTGAGGTTGGGCCCGGGTTCGAACCCGAAAGTCGAGGTGGCCGAGTGGTCTAAGGCGGCGGCTTTAGGCGCCGTTCCAGAAATGGGCGCGGGTTCGAACCCCGTCCTCGACACATTTTACCCTGTGCTACGAGCAAATCTTTTGCGCCTTATTTTACCCTGTGCTACGAGCAAATCTTTTGCGCCTTACAGGGACACGGAACGGTACGGGTGGACGCTAGAAGTCAGCGCTGACCGTCACGCCGTTCTCGTTTTTCTCGTTACACCACACACAGACTGGGACACCGGCACAAAAGAAAGAAAACAGACACCCAAAGAGTCGAGGTTTTTCTCGTTCACTGGTGGACCGCTCCACTCACCACCTCGCGTCCCACTTTTCTCCGCCCACCTGTCGCCTCGCCTCCGTCCACCTTTCAACGCCGTGCGATGAAGATCTTTGTCATCTACGACCACGCCAGCGCGCCCGCCTCGGCGCACCACAAGCTCGCCATCACGCTGCCCGCAAAGTGGCTCGAGCTCTCTGTCGACAAGGCGGCCTCTCGCCCCGGCCGCCACTCGCGGCGAGCCTCCGGCCAGGCCGCACTCAGCCTGCGCCGCGCCGGCCGACGCAGGTCAAGGCCGCCTTCGTCGCTGCGTACAACAAAAAGTTTGCCGACGCACCGCTCGACGGAGACAGCTTTGCGCTCCAAGTCCCCGACCGCACGCGCGCATCCCGCCGCCGTCCGGCCGCCAGACGCGTCGATCGCGCCCTCGTAGGTGCGGGACGACTCGCCCTTCACGCACTCGGACGTGCGCACGCTGCGCACGGTCGACGTCCCTGCCAAGGCGCCTCCGAGACGCCTCCCAGCCCCGTCCGGCTCGCGGCGTTAGAGCGGTCGCCTCACGCCCTCTCCGGCGGGCCACTGTCGGCAGGCCCTCTCCGACCGGTGCGAGGTGCGGCTCGTCCCGCACAGCGCGGCGGCGGCGCCCGGGGCCAGCGCCTCGGCCAGGCCGCGCTGCAAGCGGTGCGAGATCAGCCCGAGATCAGCCCGAGATGCAGCCGAGATCAGCCCGAGATGCAGCCGAGATCAGCCCGAGATCAGCCCGAGATGCAGCCGAGATCAGTCCGAGATCAGCCGAGATCAGCCCGAGATCAGCTGAGATCAGCCGAGATCGTGCGGCCGAGCGGTGCGGCGGACGGCGAGGCGGCGGCACCCAGCCTGGCCGAGCCCTGACCCACCCAAGCCTGGCCCCGCAGGTACGGCTGCCAGGTCGAGTACGACCCTGGAACCAACCATGAGGAGCCAGCCGTGCAGACGCCTCCCCAGCACCACGCCTCCCCAGCACACGCCTCCCCGCGCCTACCTGGAGCCTCTTCCCCCTCGTTCGCTCGCTCGCTCTCTCGCTCTCTCTCTCGCTCGCTCGCTCTCTCTCCCTCTCCCTCTCCCTCTCTCCCTCTCTCTCTCCCTCCCTCTCCTTCTCCCTCCCTCTGCCTCCCTCTCCTTCTCCCTCCCTCTGCCTCCCCCTCTCCCTCCCTCTCAAAGCGCCGTCCCGACGCCCCATCCTCGCCCCCCACCGCCAGGACGCCTGCCGACACCACCGCCTCCTTCCCATGTTCCACGACACGCGCTAGTGGTGGACCTGCTGCCCCTACATCAAGGCGCCCCTC